CGATAACAGTACAAACAATTATGTGTTTAATAAAACAATGTTAAAAATACTTACATTAAATGTGTGTGGTCTTAGTAGACGTGTTCAATATCCGGAATTTCTAGATCTTATTAATAATTATGATATTCTTTGTTTTGTAGAGTCAAAAACAGATGATTTAGACGAAATTGATATACCAAATTTTGAAATTAAGATGAAAAATAGATTTCTTTTGCGGAGGGTAAAATCTGGGGGAATAGTATTATGTTTTAAGACACATTTAGCAGATAAGATAAATATGATTGATACAGATAGCAAATATATCATGTGGTTCACAGTTGATAAAGAAATATTTCGTCTAAACCAAAATGTTTTGTTTGGAATTGTGTACATTCCTCCTGAAAATTCATCATATTGTATTGGGGACCCCTATAACGAAATAGAAAATGAGTTTTTGAACTTCTGTTCGCACTATAATTATATTTGTCTTATGGGAGATTTCAATTCTAGAACTAGCCGAGATCCAGATTTTATTGACCTTGATTACGATGAATTCTCAGGAATGTTAGACATTGAAAATACCTGTATCAACGCATTACATAATTTAGGGTTACCCATCCAGAGACAAAGTATGGATATTAAAAAGAATAATTTTGGTAATTATTTATTAGATTTTTGTAAATATAACAATATGCTTATTGTTAATGGTAGACTTGGTGACAACAGTGGACACTTTACTTGCAAAAATGCTAGTGTAGTTGATTATAATATAAGTTCCCCATGTTTTCTCACACTTGTCGAAAATTTCTCTATATTAGAAACGAATACTTTATTTTCGGATATACATAATCCGTTATCATTAACTCTTAAAGCAGATATAATTGAAAATAAAGTGGTTGAAGATGAAACATCGTATGAAAAGATTAAAAACTGGGAGAGTACTAAAACTGCAGACTTTATTGATAATATAGACGGAGAAAGAGTAAACGAAATACTGACCCAACTAGTAAATATGGTTGACAACGCATCAATAAGTGAAACAACCATAAATACCGCAGTAGAGAGTATTAGTAATTTACTAACCGATGCAGCTAAGAGTACTTTCGGCACATATACCCAGCAAAAAGTTCATCCAAATTTACAAAAATATAAGAAAGCATCCAAGCCGTGGTTTGACGATGATTGTAAAGAAGCCAGGAAAAATTATAAATCATCAAAAAGAAAGTTGAGAAGAAATCGATCTCAATTTCAGGAGGCCGAAACTAAATCATTAGAGAAAAAATATAAGAGGACTATGGATAAAAGTATGAGAAAACATAGGAAAAAAATTAGAAATAGAATAAATAATTTGAAATCCACTAATCCAAAAGAATATTGGAAAATTTTGAATAGTGGAAAAAAACAGAAAAGCCCTAATATACCTATGAATGTATTGTTAGATTATTTTAAAACATTGAATGCTGGTAGCGCAAATGAAGATGGCGAAAATGTAAACAACCAAAACGACATTGGTAGATTAAATATGTCATTGAATGTACCCATAAATGTAGATGAAATTGAAAAAGCAGTTAAAAATCTGAAAAATAATAAAGCCTCTGGTGACGATGTTATTATAAATGAGTATTTGAAGCATTCATTTCATATTCTATCTAGTATATTAGTAAAGCTGTTTAATATTATATTTGACAGTGGCATTATTCCCGAGATTTGGTTATTGGGAAATATTATACCATTATATAAAAACAAGGGTGACAAATTGGATCCCAAAAACTTTAGGCCTATCACTATTATTAGTTGCTTTGGTAAATTATTTACCTCTGTTTTGAATACAAGATTAAACAATTTTTCTGATGATTATCAGATAATTTGTGAAAATCAGTCAGGATTTAGAAATGGATATAGTACTACAGATAATTTATTTGTTATTTACATGTTATTTAGCTTAATGAAAAGTAAAAAGAAAAAAATGTATTGTGCTTTTATTGACTTCGCTAAAGCCTTTGATAGTGTATGGAGAAATGGATTGTATCAGAAATTGCTTGGACACGAAATTAATGGTAAAATTTATAACGTAATATTCAATATGTATAGTGGTATTAAATCAAGAATTGTATATAATGGTCAATCATCTGACTATTTTCCTTGTAATATTGGTGTAAGACAAGGAGAAAATCTCTCTCCTTTTTTATTCTCCCTATATCTGAATGATTTGGAATCTTTTTTACAAATGCATGATGTTTTGGGACTAAGCTGTATATCTGAAGAAATTGAGAATGAGATGAATATTTATATTAAGCTTTTTGCTTTATTATATGCAGACGATACTGTTCTATTTGCTGAATCAGTTGAATCTCTTCAGTCTCAACTTAATACATTTAGTGAATATTGTAAACTTTGGAAACTTAGTGTAAATTCTAGTAAAACGAAAATTATGATTTTTTCTAGTGGACGTTTATCGCAAAATCCTCATTTTTATTTTAATAATATTGAATTAGAAGTTGTTAAAGAAATTCCATATTTGGGATTGACTTTTTCGAGGACAGGTAGCTTTGCAAGTACTAAAAAGATATTAGTTACTAAGGCATATCGAGCTATGTACGATGTACTTAAAAAGGGGAGAGTTCATAACCTTTCTGTGAGATGTCAGTATGATTTGTTCGATAAGATAGTGAAGCCTATTTTACTTTATGGGTGTGAAATTTGGGGGTTCAGTAATATAGATATTATAGAGAGAGTACATTTGAAATTTTGCAAGCTACTACTGAACTTGAAGAAGTCGACCCCAAACTTTATGGTTTATGGCGAACTTGGTGTCTATCCCATGGCAGTCTACATTAAACTGCGTATGGTAAATTATTGGTGTAGAATTGTCCACGGCAAAGAAAATAAGTTGTCACACATTTTGTATAACTTTATGTTTTTTAAATATTCACAGAATAACTGTACGTCTGAATGGGTTATTTTTATAAAAAATATTCTTGAAACATGTGGCTATAGTAATATCTGGTTAGCACAAACTGGCTTTAACACAAAATGGCTAAATAATAGTTTAAAACAGAAGTTATTTGACCAATTTCAACAAAACTGGCGTTCAGATATATGTAATTCGTCAAAAGGTTTATCGTACAGATTATATAAGGATAAGTTTGAATTCGAAAAATATTTAGATATATTACCAGATAGAGATAGGGTTATATTTTGTAGATTTAGAACTGGTAATCATAGATTACCAATTGAAACTGGTAGATGGATAGGTTTAGATAGAGAAAGGAGATATTGTAATTTATGTCAATGTCAAGAATTAGGTGACGAATTTCACTTTCTTCTGAATTGTAGATCCCTAGACGACTCAAGAAAACTGTTTTTGGATAATTGTTATTGTAACAGAGTAAATGTAATTAAATTTTGTAAATTATTACAAACAACACATAGAAATAAGTTAAAAAATATATGTAAATTTATAAAGGTTATAAATTCATTAGCAGGTCTTCCTGGTTAGCCTTTGTCTATCTGTTTTTCTATTATAATAACTAAATGATCTTGTATAGTATTTGTAACATTCATATCTTGTCATGTGCACAATTTATTTTGTATACTATGTATTATTATTTCATTCTTTGTACCAATGTGTATACAATGGTTTTAAAGAATAAAATTGTCTTGTCTTGTCTTGTCTTGGTCAGGACTCGGAGTACCCAGTAAAAACCCTCGGGTGGCGATTTCAAGCATGATTATATATGCTAAGGGTGCGAAATTTAAATGAAATATATGATAAAAATAAAAATAGAAAAAACAGCACCGTTTCACGTTATAAATTTATAAGTAAGTAAGGAAGTAAATTTTATTTAGAGTCGGAACATATGTATAATCAAACAATTTTCTTGATAAATTCTAAATTTATAAACAGAGAATTTAATAATAATTTTAAATAATGTCGGTATCGAAGCACTGACTACGGAGCTGATAATAATGCTGAGGGTTGTATCATATCAGTATCTAGACCCAGGACTATTATACTGTAATATAGTCCCAGTCTAAAATCAGATGTTGGTACTTCCAATAGATGTGGTTAAACCGCAGTTATAAATGCATCAGATATTTGTAAAATCTACGAATAACATAATCCTGATACCTATAGGCCTATTTTTGATTCAAAAAATATACGATACTTACACAGCTAAACTTGGCGTTATTGTTATGTGTTTGAAAATCGTGATTGTTGTTTTAACTAGCTTTGATGTAAATTCTGCATGTAGCATGTATTTAGTAAAAACAATTAAGATTCAAAATGTTATTGTTGTTGAGTTTAATCGGGGTTTGGTATCTTAACATTAAAATAATATTCAACCGTGACAAAAAACCTTTTTCAGAAAGTCACTTTATTTAGAAAATGAAAAAAATATAGCATTACACTAACCAAAACACGATTTAAATATTCAACACAAAAAAACGTCACAATATTATTGTATTATATGTCTCTGTATATAGCAATACAATAACCAAAACACGACTAAAAAATTATTCAACACAAAAATCGTTTTTAGAAAGTCACTTCATTTTGAAACAATCGGTAGGGTGGGAACGGACCCGGGGTGCGAACTTGTAGGGTGCAAACGTGAAAGGGGCGAACGTGAATGAGAGCGAACGTGTTTTTTGGGCGAACGGACCCGGATTCATAAGGATTGAAGTTTCATTTCAGGTCAGCCGCACGGTTTCTGGGTAAACAAGTTTTCATTTATTATAATAGAATATAATTCGAATAGGAAAGGAATCAATTGAAAAATAAAAAGTTATTTAAGTACCAATAAATCAGATGTTCAAATCTATTCATTGCTCATGTTTTTATGTTTTTTTACAAGTTTACGTTCAGTGAACACCTCTTTTCAACAGTTCCATTTTAACTTCTTTCCTTTTCTCATCTCTCTGACCTTGACACTTTTGCCTTACTGGTTTCTAAAATATTTTTACCTTTTTACATATGGCTCATACGTTGACCTACTTTTTCATAGATCCAGGTAAATCAAAGTTTACAACCGTGGGAAAGTTTATTGAGCATGCGATTGTACTGGTTGCTTGCATGAATTGTAATGTGTCGGAATGCAGAAAAACACAAGTCAAAATCTGTGGACAAGTGATGCGAATTTCTTTGCGAAGAATTTGCAAATTATTTCTTGTGATTGTCACATTTATACTTACACTTATAATAATTTCTGTCACAAATACAGAGCGAATACAAACAAAGCAAATTGTGTTTACAAAGTTTGTTAAGAGAAGTTATGGAAGACAGTTATCGCTGCAGAAGGAACAACAGGTGGTTGACCATATAAAATTTCAACGAAAAACAAATGGAGTTCATTCTGCTGCAAATGATGCAAACTTGAGAAGAGATGAAATTGTAAACAAAAATGGTGAAATAAAACAGAACAGGATTCAGAATGTTAAAAATGTGATGAGAAAAACAGTTCAATCTGACATATTTATTTCTGTTAAAACCACTAAATCAAACAGAAATTCAAGACTTAATTTGCTGATGGAAACATGGATTCCGTTAGCTAAGGATGAGGTGTGTATTTTTGATTTTATGATTTAATGACCATGATGACTGAAGATATTGATTTGCCATGTTCCATTTTGTAGGATTATCAAGTATTTTTGGCACGGATCTGGACATTTTTTTAAGTGATTGCTATCAATTTAAGATGACTTGAAAATTTGTGTCATTTTTTTATAGACTGTCAAATTAAATCTAAAGTCACATCCAGATATTTTTGCACACATTTAAATTTTGGTCTATTTTAGAATTAAGGGATCTCCTGTAGTTGGTGATCACAATACTGGTATACCAGTATTGTCCACAATACTGGTATAAAAATTTTGTACCAGTATTGTAACTTTAAAAAAAAACCAGCAATACTGGTACATAACTGATATACCAGTATTGTAGTTGTATTGTTCACTATACCTTAAGGTGTATAATGAAAAATGAATTTTAAGCAAAATTAGATATTGAAGATCAAAGGGAGATTAAATGAATTCAAAAAGATTATAGAGGATAATTGTGAAATCAATTAACAACCAGTTAAAAATAATTACTATACTTGTACAAAAATACAAAAGATTTGCAAAGAGAGAGCTGGAAGAAAACATAGAAGAAAGTAGAGTTTGTTAAAATGCTGAGACAGTACGGTTCCCTTAAGAAAAAAACATCAGAAGATATAAAACTTTCTTTGATTACAATCACAGTGTACCATCAATGGCATCATCAGTTAAACATACAATCATTCCATATAAAATTGTCATGTCATATATATGTTAATATCATTATGCATATATATGTGGCACCTTTAATAAAAGATTAATTACCTATATGTATTGTTTATTTTAAAAAAAAACACAATACTGGTACAATACTGGAATACAATACTGGTACAAAATTTTTATACCAGTATTGTGCACAATACTAGTATACCAGTATTGCGATCACCAACTACAGGAGATCTGAATTAAGAAAGTTTGGGTCTTTTTTTTCAAACTATCAAATTAACAAGTTAGAAGTCACAGCATTAAGGAACTTGTATTGATAGTTTCACAGCATTTACTTCATGAAATTTCTTGTTGTTTTTCTAAAATATTAAGAATGATTTAAATATGGAATGCAAGACTTTAAAATTGAAATAATTTAATGTCTTTAAACTGTAAATTTGAAAGGAATCAACCTTGCTTCTATCAATTTTGAGAAATGAAATAAGTTTCAAGTGATTCCAGATTTATCTACAGGGTTTTTGTACATGTTCTGTCTAATAAAGGGCAGGAGGTCATTTTTTTCAAGTACATTTATATGTATGTCTCAACAAATTTGTACAGTTCAGTCATACATGTATATTGTATTTTCCATGATTTTCCTTCAAGTTTAACTCATGAAAAAGTCTGAAACTATTGTCTTGTTGACAACGGTATGCACATTTAGATGATTTGAATTAAACCATTGTACAAAATGTACATTGTAGATTTTAAGCAATTTTAATTTTTGGCACTGATCTTGTTAATTCATTAGGAATGTTTCAAAAATTGTGAAAAGTTGAAAACCTGATATTTTGACTACATAAAAAAAATCCTTACCTTGAGCGTGTTGAGTATGACTTTGAGGGAAGAAACTCTAAACACACACATTTTTCTTTTGGCCTTATATATCATGTACTTACACATGTAGTGTTACTTATTGCTCCTGTCAGAAATGTCAATTATTTAAAATTGAATTAATAAGAACAGTCAGTGGTATCAAATAATAATCTTTATCATTAAGTCTATTAAGCCAAGGAGTTATTTTTAAAGGAAAATTATTAAATTTGTTAGCTTTAAATTACATTATAAATTCAGAAATTAATGCATGTATTTATTATGATTATTGCGATTTTTGAAGACAGAACAAAAATGCGATATTAGTTATTGCGATTTCGGGAAAATCTACATACATTACAGATCTATATGTATCAGATATCAGAATCCAAGGTTTTATTATTGCGATACTCAACCAGTTGCATTATTCGCAATAATAAAAACCTTGCAACGATTTCTGAATTTACAGTAATTAATATGCTGGATGCAATGCAAAAACACATCCAGCTTTTATGATATGAAAAAAAATGTAATGTTTCATTCTTGTACATGTACATACATCTGTGAATTCTCTTTTTTAGACCTATATATTTACAGACAATGATTCACACATTCCAGAAAATTTTCATGGTAAGTTTTACTTTGTACAGGTTATAACATACATGTAGTTTGAGTTTAAAAATTACAATTATAATATTATTTTATGTATTTATTTACAAATTACTTTGTGATATATACATCTATGAGGTAAGTAAATGAGACATGCTGACAGACTGTAGCGTAATCATAAGCAAAAGGCTTTTTCCCCCCCTTAATTTATAAATACTTAAAAGTTTGGGGTTTATCAACTTCAAAGACTTTAAATCAAAACACTAATTGAAAGAAATCTTAGATTTTGCTTACGGTTTCACTTTTTTGAGAGATTACAAGCTGTAAATGTCTGATGTGTCAACACGTTAAAGGTTTGATGATGTAAGGAGTTCAATTTCAATACATTTCTCTAGTCAGACATGTACAAGAATGCTGTCTCATCACTTTCATGACTGTAATAGAACATATAAACTTTCTTTAAGTTCATCTTTTGCCTAAGGGGAGATAACCTCTTGTCTGATCATTTTCTTCTTCATGATTTGAACTGGATTAATGCCAGCTTCCCTTTATGGTTGATTGATTTAAGCAACATGTACATATATACCTACATGTTCAAGACTCATTGTGGTAAATCAACAATGTGATCAATAAATCATTAATATTTCACTATTTTTGTCCCTCTTTTATAATTTAGGGAAGTTCCACTTTTATTAGGGTACATTGTACAACAACCTATACATGTATTTAATTTCATGCTGAGGATACAGGTACATTGTACATCCATTGGGTGTTATGTTTCATGAAAATTAGCATTCAGATACCCCTTGTTGTCAATAATATTTAACTTAACAGTTCTTAGATTGTTTATAGTCCTGATAGTACAACACCATTGGGTATTTTTTGACAGAGGTATCAGTCAAATATAACACCTGATGACTAAAACTGTATAAAACAATTAGTGGGAACACTGATATGTCTGTTATTTTTAAAATTCGTACAAATACATAAGAGATACTTAAAATGGATTAATTTATCTTTTTTTCTTTTATATGTAATCATGGTAATTCCTATTCATATCTACTAATGATATGGGATATCCATATTGATTAGATACTGTACTGTGAATTCATTTATTTTCATGGTTACTTATTTTTGTAGATTTAGGAAAAATTGCAATTACCTGGATATTTGATTATCATGCTTTTTGTCTAAGTCTGCATACAAGCCTATAGAAAATTGGTACTTTGCTTAACATTTAAATTTGTGGTGCACCTTGGCCTTTGCCCATGAAATCCACCGTAATTGGTATCCCATGAATTATACTGAATCCATAGTATACATTGATGGGATCTCAGTCCTTTGACAACTTGAATTTAGAATTTATTTAAAAAAATGAATTATTTGAATAATCTTTCTGTTTTCTTTTTTTTAAGCTGATCATTTTATCAACACTTTTTGTGCAGATTCACATTACAGGTAAGTACTCAAATTTAAATGTTAAATGTGATCAGAAAAAATGTCAACTACATGTATATTGTATCTACATTCTTTATGAAATTTGAGAATACAATTTTATTGCATCATCATTACAGAGCGAGAATTTTTTCGAAATGAAGTAAAGTATGTCAGTGTAGCGTAAATTATAGATTCTAATATTAAATATTTTTTGTGTGAGCAGTCTAGCATTTCAATTTTCTAGGAGGTTTAGATTTGTATATTTCTTGAACTTAAGCCTTACATCCTCACTCATTTCTTACTTGGACAATATTTAATATTGCATTAATTACAGTTGTCAAGTTTGATATATTGGCCACAACAAAAGTCTATAAAGTCTGTAAATTTAAATCTGAATTTTGAAATTGTTCCAGGATTTAGGGTAAAAATCTGAGGAATCTGCATAGCTTCACTTTTATCTTAATTACTCAGTGTTAAACATTATATATCATGAATATGGTGTTATGTGATATGACATGTATGATTGATCATTTCATAGTTCAAGGTGTGATAAAAGAATAAGATGTACTTCCTACATATATTTCATAAATTTTTTAAAATGTGTACTAATCAAAATGATCAACTGAACGTATTTTATTGATTTTATTGCATATACTTCCACAACATACAGCTTCTTTTGCAACTACGAAATTGTTGAAAAGAAGAGATTGATTAATATAAGTCTGGATATTTCCAAACATGCCAACAACGTAATTACATGAAAGATGTTTTTTCAGTGATTGAAAATATATGTAAACATTATCCAAAGTCGTATTGATGTACCATTATATAAAATTAACCATTTTTAGCTTACCTGCTTTGGGCCAGTGTCAGCTTATGCTACCACTTGGGGTCTGTCGTCTGTCTTCCATTAAGTTTTACCAAAATCTACTCCTGTGAAATTACTGGGCCAAATAAAATCAAACTTTGCCACAGTCATTCTTGGGGGATCTAGTTTAAAATATTTGTCTAATGATCGAGCCTACCAACCAACATGGCTGCCAAGACTAAAAATAGAACTAAGGGGGTAAAATGCCTGGATTGTCTTTTACCTTATAAATCATTATCCCATATTGATAGAGAAAATCTGACAGGGGTGAAATGTTCAGATTGATGAGATTCAATATAATCTCTTTAGACCAAAACTGTCAGTGGACTCCTTATATGAGTTATTGCATTAGATTCAGTTTTTTACCTTTTTTTTGTGTTTTGCCTATTATCTAGAAAACTATAATAAATAGAGAGAAAGTTTATGTGCAAAAATGATCAGTAAGACAAGATCTAAAAAAAAACATAGCTGAAATTTTCAGTTGACTAGGAGACTCCTCAAACATTGTGTAAAAGAAGTTATTGGATTGGCTAAAATTGTCAGTAGACTTCTTGCAGGAATTATTGCCTTTCAATGAAGATTTTTACCAATTTTTTGCAGTTTTATCTTTTTTCTTGAAGACTATAGAAACTCTAAATATCAAAAATGATCAGCGAGACAAGTTCTACTAATAAGTCAACAAAGTAGAAATCTTACCCAATTTTTTTTTCATTTTTGGCAAAAAGTATTGTAGCAAAGGAAAAACTGAACAGCAAAAATGATCAGCAAGACAAGATCTACAAATAAGTCACATAAAGCTGATATTGTTAGCTTATTCCTCATAGGAGTTATTGCCCTTACATGATGATGATTTTTTTCCCTTATGTCTCATTTTTTTGTCAGAATTTTAGCCATGAATTATATTTTTCTTGATTTTAGTCTATGATGTTTGAAAGTGACCATTTTTGCTAAGACAACTTTATTTTTCTGTTGTCCTCAAAAAAGGCTTAAAACATCATCTATAACATCTGCATGCTGTTATTTATAAGGTAAAAAGAAATGATATAAAAAAACAGTTAGCATTTGTAGGATGGACACATGTACAATTGTTTTAAGATCAGTCACACCATTTTGTCTTTGATTTACATCTTAATCGTGTATAATTTGTTTTAGGTATGATTAAATTTTAAGTTTTACCTTTGAGCTATCATGATTTGGATATAATTGAAATAAAATGACTAATTCAAAAAGATTTATAAAGAGATTGAATAATAAGTACAAGCTTCAAGCTGAAAAAAATGAATTATGAATTAGTGTTATAAAATCTGCTTGCATTTGCATTTTACTTATGTGTCATTGAATCCCAGCTATAGTCATTCATATTCCTGTAAAACTGTGACCAGCTTATAAATACAGTACACACGAAGTTGATTCAGTAAAATTCACCCCTTGTGGTTTAGAGTAAATCACATTGAAACATGGGTACTGGTGGTTGGAGATGACAACACTCTAATATATTACCCAGATTAACTTCTTAATGTGCAGTGAATTATTTTTGAGTGAATCACCAAAGTCATTACCAGCTTTCCCGGTGAAAACAGACCATCAAGAGTAACATAGGAATCACCCTGTCCATCCATCCATCTGTCTGTCTGTCTGTCTGTCAATGTGTTTTGTAAGCCCAGACTGGTGAATTGCTGAAACTTTACCCAGTTGTAAACTTGTACCTATAGATGTGCTTAAAGGAATAAATAATCCAGGTCCCATATGTTTAAGGGGAGATATTAAAATTTTGGGGGATGGGATGTATTCTTCTAATGTGAGTTCAGTCACAGTTCTAGTAATCACAGTAATGATAAAATGTATTATTAATCACAGGTTTACATTTGGTTATCTTTTTATTCATGCCTTTAAGACATGCTAATACTAATAGGTGACAGTCTAAGTTAGTTTTCTCAAATTAAATTGTTTCATATTTTTAATTTCATATCAGAGCCTTTCATAGCCGACTTTACGATATGGGTTTTTCTCATTGTTGAAGGCTGTACAGTTGCCTATAATTGCATACATCCACTTTATTTTAACATTGGTGCATAGTCGTCTCATTGGCAATCATAACACATCCTTATTTTTATATTAAGAGCTGTTTTATAAATTACAGTATTACATTCTCTTGTGAGCTCACTCACTCGCAGTATTATTTTATAGTGGAAAAGGGGGGGTTAAAAGAAATGATTATAAGAGATTTGCACTAATAATACTCACACTTTTCTTATTTTGGCCTCCTGACACTTTGAAAAGTTATGTTCAGGTGACATTACCTATATCCACAATTTTGCCTATATTTCATGCATATGATGTAAAGTTGATTCCATCCATGCCTTACTTTCTGACATTATCATGTGATTACTTTCAGACATTATCATGTGATTACTTTCTGACATTATCATGTGATTATTTTCTGACATTATCATATGATTACTTTTTGATATTGTCATGTGATTACTTTCTGACATTACCATGTGATTACTTTCTGACATTATAATGTGACTGGTTTGTGTATAACAAGAAAGGAACCTGAGAAACATACTATCACTGAACTTTACCTATTGCCTGTAAGTAACTTATCATTTGTGGTTATCAAGTTACCTTCCTGGTAAAGAGGGTGTTCACAGAATAATGTAAAAATGTTTTCAGATGTTGTGCATTGTTAAATTTTACAGGAAGTACAATGTCATAAATATTAGGTTAAGCACAAAAACATATGAAAATAACAGTTTACTTCTCAGTTTATTGTGAAAAGAAAGTATAAATTTCTTCACTTGTAAATCAATTTAATACAATAACATTTTCAAATAATGGTAAAAACATTGATCTACAATGTACTTATGTCATACAAGGTTCACAGGAGTTGTTATAAAAACCATCTTATAAACATTATTGGTTATTGTAACTTAACTTTAACTACTTAATGTGTCAGCAGGTGCACACATAAAAGGCAGCCACATATACAATATATTGAATTAGGGTGGGAATGGGATACCGCACATGACGATTGGCATAAAAAAATTTAAACTACTGTTAACGATAAAAAAAAATTCTTGTTAATGCTATGGTATGTGGAAATTAGTTTGTAACAAATGATGAAAAAGATCATGCTCATTTGACTCTTACCATAATGAAAAGTGGCTCTGATGCTTGACACTGAAGGCTTTTCCTATTTTAATTAGATATAACAATAAGAAGATGTGGTATAATTGCCAATGAGACAACACTTCACCAGCATTCTTAAGAAATAGACCTTGCATCAAATTTCAATAAAACTCTGTGTAAATTACCTGGACATGATAAAAGCCCAATCTAATTTCATTCATTGCTCATACTCTATCCAATATGTTTTTTCTATTTCAGACAAGGATTGTGCTGTAAGATGGCTAGAGAATATGACATCTTCATGGAAAGTAAAAAGAGGTATAAGAAAAAAAGTAATAATTAGGACATGTAGTTAGTAAATTGTCAGTTACTTTCTAAATGAATATATAATAGCAATGATAAGCTGTTCTTTTCAGTACCATTCAAAGTATATTTGTTTCCTCTCCCACTTATCTAACCAGAATCATTCAGTTTCCAAGATTTTTTTTTAATTGAATGAACATTATTAAATGCCAATTTAAGGCGTATGTGAAGATAATAAAAAATGAATTACAAATTCTTACACTTAATTGCCATGTATGACATTATCACTCAGGAACTATGAATCGGTTTCCTTAAATTTGGTATCAAGCTTCATGTGAGCTTGTTTGACCCCAAGGTTGAGTGGGGAATTGAAATATAGTCACTTCAGTTTTCTTCGGACTGACAGTAAAAGCCTGGCCAAAGTTGGGTGTCTGTTTGGCTGTGCAAAATTGTTGTCCCTAACCAATGTACATGTACCTGCATTTTCCAGTGAGAGTTCAAATTTCCCTGACCTTATTCCTGGATGACCTCTATAACATGACCTACCTATTGTATTTATTGTTAATTTGTTCTCGTCCTGAACTTGCATGAAATATTTGCCTAATATCTTAAAAACTATAATAGATCAATAGAAACAATACTAAGGAAAAATGATCAACAAGACGATCTACAAATAAGGTAACATGACTTAAGTTGTTCATCCACTCCTTATTGAAGTTATTGCCCTTAAATGACAATTTTTACCATGAATGCCTATTATATTGAAAACTATGACAGATAGAAACTTTGAATAGCACAAATGATCAGCATGACAAGATCTACATATGAGCCATACTTGTGGAAATCTTCAATTGACTCATTTTGGAATTATTGCCCTTTAATGATAATTTTTTACATTTTTTTTTTGCATTTTTTGCCTATTATCTTGGAAACTACAATAGATAAATAGAAACTTTAAAAATGAAAAAAAATATCAGCAGGATAAGATCTACAAATTTGTAAACATTACTGAAATTGTCAGTTAACTCTTAATAGAGTTGTTCCCTTTTAATGCTGATTTTACTAAAGTGGCCATTGTTGAAGATGCAGGTGAACAACACAGGCTCTTTAGAGCTACTAGTTATATTCATGTTTACAAAATACTTATAGCTCACAATTCAAATTGTTAAAAATCTGCTTAATAATACATAAAAATGAAAACAGGAATAACCAAAATACACCAAAACCCAACTCCTCTGAAAAAATAGAAGAAATAAGTGACACATTGTGTAACTTTTATGTACAACATGTAACACATTATGTAGAATTTATCTAGAACATGTAACACATTGTGTAACTTTTATCCTCAACACTAGACACTTTGTGTAAATTTTATATTTAACACATTGTGTAAAAAAGTATAACAAAAGAACTGAATTCCAATGCAAATTCTTTGCTTATCTCCATCTCTCATTAATTAATGTTAAGGAGGCAAATGGTTTCAACTAAACTAAAACTAATTGCACAATTTTTTTTTTATACAAAATCATTTCAGGTAAATGTCTAGTGGTTGGAAGAGGTAATTTTTTTGACAGGGCCAACTGATAGCTACATTTAAACAAATTGTTTTTTAATGGACATATTTTCCCCTTATCTCATTTTTATACGCCCGTTTACGGGACGTATTATGGTATACCTCCGTCCGTCTGTCCATCCGTCTGTCAGTCCGTCCGTCTGTCCGTCCGTCTGTCGTCAACAGGTCGGACATTAACTCAAAAACTCTATAACTAATTTGCATAAAACTTTGGTGAATTGTTTATATCTATTGACGTGAGCTCCCTTTCGATTTTTATAAATTTTAGATTTTACGTTTCCGAGTTATGGGGTTTTATTCATTAAAAAAGGGGGATTTTCCAGTTTTCGGTTAATAACTCAAGAATGCTTTCACCAACTTGCAAGAAATTGTGGTGAATTGTTTATATCTATTGACATGAGCTCCCTTTCTATTTTTATAAATTTTAGATTTTACGTTTGCGAGTTATGGGGTTTTATTCATTAAGAAAAGGGGGATTTCCAGTTTTCGGACAATAACTCAGAATGCTTTCACCAACTTGCAAGAAATTGTGGTGAATTGTTTATATCTATTGACATGAGCTCCATTTCGATTTTTATAAATTTTAGATTTTACGTTTCCGAGTTATGGGGTTTTATTCATTAAAAAAAGGGGGATTTTCCAGTTTTCAGACAATAACTCAAGAATGCTTTCACCAACTTGCAAGAAATTGTGGTGAATTGTTTATATCTATTGACATGAGCTCCATTTCGATTTTTATATATTTTAGATTTTGCGTTTCCGAGTTATGGGGTTTTATTCATAAAAAAAGGGGGATTTTCCAGTTTTCAGACAAAAAATCAAAAATGCTTTCAGCAGTTCTTATGAAACTTTGGTGAATTGTTTATATCTATTGATGTAAGCTCCGTTTAGAATTTTATAAATTTTTCATTTATCATTTCTGAGTTTTGGGGTTTTATTCATTAAAAAAGGGGGGATTTTCCAGTTTTCGGACAATAACTTCAGCAGTTCTTATGAGACTTTGGTGAATTGTTTATATCTATTGATGTAAGCTCCCTTTACATTTTCATAAATTTCTGATATGACATTGAGAATTAATTGAACTTTATTTGTTTATAGTCTGACAGCAGATTTACTAAGTATTGCGCAACAGCACAGGGTATTGCACAACAGCAAGAAATCTTTAATTGAATATAAATTCAATTCATATAACCAATTTCAAGTTCTTTGACTACATTTATTCAGAAACCTATAATATGTCAAATATTTAATTACAATCCAAATTCAAACCTGTATCAAGCTTGAATATTGTGTCCATTTTTGCCCCAACTGTTCAGGGTTGGACCTCTGCGGGCGTATCCAGCTGCGCTCAGCGAAGCAGTTTATTTCATATTGGCTTGATTGATTGATTTTTGGTTGCTTTTAATGTCCAGTGGGAAATATTTGATGCATGTTCGAGAAGATTTTCATACTGGAAGAAATGTATGTAATTGTTTATTTTCAGCAACATTCAAATTAGCAGAGTGCTTTTAACAAATCTTTGTAGATTATTTTTTTTCTACATGATATACAAAGTAAATGTTAATATGATAACTTTTTTTAGGTACACATTGTAACTATTATCTACAATACATAACACATTGTGTAACTTTTATCTACAACAAAATATGTACACTTATTTAAGTCTATGTACATATATTTTGCAGGTGGTTTTGTCATGTAGATGATGATAACTATGTGAATGTACCAGCTTTAGTAGGGTTTCTGCAGCAGTATAACCACAGCCATAACTGGTATTTAGGCAGACCAAGTATAAGTCATCCAATGGAAGTTTTAGACAGAGCTAACCCAGGAGTAATTATTTTGCCACCATTATATTCTTTTGAATTGCTTAGATAAAAAATTGCACTTTGAACTTGTCTTGACCCAGGATTGAACAAGGTTGAAGAGTAAAAACAAGGATGATATTGAAAATCACGCACGTTTTTAGGCAGGAATCTAGCCTTTTGTTTGAATGTTGACTTGGGTCACTTTTCTCAACTTGTTTATGAAAGTTTCTATGAATATAGTTCTTTGATCTTCTGCTTCCTGTTGACACGGTTGAGTTAACTTCTAATAACTTTTAACCGGAGAAAATATTTTAATCAAAACTTGATATAAGTTTATTGTAATAATCTATCAAAATATTTACCATGTATACAGGAAACACATTTGTTAATCTCACATTATCACCTTTTGTTAAAGATTCACAATGATAAAATTTAATTTTAATAGCTGATGATTTACAATAGATACCTAGGAAATTCCAGCCTCTACACCATATGGGGCTTTGATTAACGTTGTCATGAATTTTTTACAATGTTACTAATGACATTAAGTTTAACATTAGTGTGTGTCATTACCCTTAGTAAAGGTCATATCTTCTAAGTGAAGGTCACAACTATTAGATGTATAAAAATTGTTTTTGGGCTTATGTCTTACTACCACATGATGAGATTTGGATCATACTATACAATGTTTGTTCATGACAAAAAGATATGTAATATCCTTGACTGACCTGAACAGATGTGGTGAAATTGTATTTTATTTTTATGTTTTTACTTCCTGTTTGGTAATGGGTCACATCATTGCTGCCGAGGTCCAAATCAAATTATATGATCAAAGTAAATGGTAAAATCTGGAAGATTAAGGATGTACCAAGGAAATCTGATAACAATCAGTTTCAGTTTAACACATTTCTTAGACTTGTATCTTGTGTAATCTTCAACATTTCCAAAGTTCAACTGAATTTTTTTTCATTTATATAGGAAGTTTTATTAAAATGGATATTAATAATTAAATCCCTGAAATAAAAAAAAAATCAGTATTTTGGTTATTAAATTGTGAAAGACATATTCATATGAGCCTATCTACTTTAAGGAATCAAACATAAAAAACAGACCTATGTGGAAGATAATCATCATGTATTGTCTATATGTCCTGTAGGGTAGATTATTTATATAACTTTTATATTACAGCAAAAGTTGGCATTTTGGTTTGCAACTGGAGGTGCTGGTTTCTGTATTAGCAGAGGTCTAGCTGATAAAATGGTACCACATGCTGGGTAAGATATATATGCCAATAGATGTAATTTGTAGGCCCCATTTTTCAGGTCAATCAAAACATGACACAAGAATTTTTCATGAATCCTAGCCTTTAATAATTAGTAAGAATTGTATGTAGGGTGAAAGAGGTTTGAAAATCATTGTGACAGTAACCAAAATCGATATTTATTAAAAAACAGACTAAAATACAGTTGTGATTATACCCTTGCTTCAAAGGAAGGGGATACACAGATTTACCTCTAAATGATACATATATGTCACTTGTCTGAACAACTGCAAGCCATAGCTTTCATATATATAGCAGCAAGCTTCATATGGTTATATGTCATACATCGTGCCACATATTGGTTCCATCTATGTTCTATTTCCTGTTTTCCTAAAACTAAAATTTTTAAAGTGCCATGTACATATGTGAAGGTTTTTACATTTTTCCCAACAGAAATTTGAAGTATCTTAATATTTCACACCAAGCTTCATCTGTTTATATGCCAAATAGTGTGACACACTTTCAGTTCCTTTGATATTCTATTTCCTGTTTCCTGAAAACTTTTAAAAATTCACGCACATTTATGATAAAATTTTGGTTACACTTTATCAACAACATTGAGCATTGATATAAATATCTAGCAATAGTTCACATTTAATCTGTTTTAACTATTCCCTAAATGTTTTGTGCAGAAAAATCCTTATAAAAATTGTTTTTGAATCATGAAAATAAGATTTGTAAGTTCTCTGTGATTGTATAATTTTCTGTTGTGGCCTATTTGATATTTAAACATTCTATTTTAACTTAAATTGTGTAAAATTTGACTAATTTGTCAACATAGAAATGATATTCGCTCTTAGTATGTTTAGTTTTAACTTTGTATCTTCAGGGGAGGAAGGATAATGACTACTGGAGACATCATAAGGTTACCAGACGACTGTACAATAGGATACATCATAAGTAGGTGTCAAGAAAATCAATAATTCTCATTTTTGTACATTTTATGACTATCATAAACAAAAATTGCTGGCAACAGATATAATTTCCTAAAAAAAGTTTTGTCACTGGACGTTAAGCATTCAAAAATCAATCGATCAATAAAACAAAAGGATGTGGGCATGTGAAGTCTTTACATCAGTCATCAATTGAATCTCCCCTTTCAATAATTTATGTCTCCCAGGCTTTACATGACAATATGCAAGCATATTCAAAATGTTCTGCAGATGGCAGAGTGGTAATTTCTTCATGAAAATTTTCAATTTAGGATGAATATTATTTGTAAACCATGTTAACCATGTTGGACGTAAAATGCTGCATATTGCAATCTAGAATAGCTTTTGAGCTTGTTTGCAAATTATCATTGTGTATATGACAACCAATCAATTTAAATTGATAATACATGTAATATAATTAGTCTTAAAGTAATACCTAGATGAAATTGAAATACACTTGCTACCGTCAGAAAATATCCTATCATAAAAGTTGAAGGAATAATTGAAAACAAAATGTCAAATTTTTAGCACATAGACAATTTTATGGGAAAATTGAGAATTAATGTCAATTTTATGGGAAAATTGAAAATTAATGTAAGTTAATGCAACTTGTATGTCTCCAATTTTCTTACTTTTAAGGTAAACATATCACCAGGTTACAAAAAAGAAATAATATGCAAATAAGTAATCCAGTGAACAAGGAAATAAAATCAAGAAATTAGTTATTTCTTAAGGATATTTTGATACACAGGAGTACTGTGGATTCATAATTATTCGTGGGATAATATTTTTCAGAAAATTCATGGGTATTGGTGAACCATGAATTTAAATGTTCAACCAAGAACAACTTTCCATAGGCTTGTATTCAGACTTTGGCAAAACAATTAAATCAAATGTACACTATAGTACAAGTTTCCTCAATCCATGAAAATAGATAAATCCACAAGACAACTAGTAATGTGTTGCATACATTTCACATTTCTATTACTCAAATGGAAAATAGCAGCAGCTTGTTTAAATCCAAATTTTAAAACAAGAATTTCGGCATGTTTGATTATGAAGGAGCATTGAGTTCTCATCTTCAAAAAAGCAAAGAAAATGAAAAAAAAAATAATTTTCAAACATGAAAAAGGTCTATACTTTTTAGATATAAATCAAAATTTATGTGTTTTTTTTTTTTATTTTTAAAGTTTATCATGCTTGAGCTTAAAGAAATCAGGTATTTTGTTCTTTCAATAAAATTAAAGGCCTTGACAGTTTTTTGACAATGCAAAAATATTTTCGTTATTTCAGCTTTTATTGTACATTTGCCTCTTGACAACTTGAAATTACTCAAAAGCTTTCTGTATATATACAGAACAAGTGTTTTCTTTTTTGAGATATCAATTATATAAGAAAAAGAAAAAGTTATGGTGATTTAATTCTCAACACACCACATCGACACAGGAATAATGAAACTTTCAAACACAAATTCATAAGAAATTCTTCAACTGAACCTTACAAAATTGGTTTGTAAACCTTGTAGAATCTTCGTTAATCTGTTGGTTGCCTCTCTAATTTAGATATTTATACATTGTCTAAATATGATTTTAAATAAAAATGAACTATTGAATTTATTAGAACAGGCATAGGAATAGTAAGTCTGCTGACAGTGAAGTTGTTTGCTGTTGTTTATCATGTGTTTTATGTCTGTAAATTTAATGTTTGCTTTATTTTCAGTTTACTGCATGATGTTTATTTGTTGTTTATTTTTTAATACTTTCAACAGAAATCTTGTTTATAATTCTGCAGTGTCTTATAAATGACTATTTTAGTTACTGTGGATTATCATTATTCGTGGTATACCAGTTTTTGTGGATTTGTGGATACAGGTTAACCTAAAATTAACTGTTTAAAGATATAAACATTTTCTATAGGCTTCTATGCAGACTTTGGCAAGACCATGAAATCAATATCAACAAAAATGCAAGTTTTCCCCAATCCATGAAAATTGGTACCCACGAAAATAAATGTATCCATAGTACCTGAGTGATTTGCTTTAATATTCTTTTTTATCATTTACATATACCGGTAATTCATCATTCTATAATAAACTTCATTAAACAGATTAGGAAAGTCATTAAAAATGAAAACTACTGCATATTTTAATGATTTAATGAACTTGTTTAATAAGATATATTTTATGTGTAACAGGAGATTTTAATACCAGAATAGGATCCCAGTCAAATGCTAGATGTGTAAATAAGTGGTATATGATAAATACTATAGAACATTATCCTTTTCTTACTCTACAACCTGTTTTGAAAGGATTTTTTCGTCTTCCATCTTAAGTGGGACGGCTTTACTTTTATTTTGTTTGGATGGATATTTTTTTACAAAACTACAACTAAACTATATGAGGGTTTTCTTAAACTTACTTGTTTGTTGTCACTCTTTCAATAGTCAGTAAACAAAAAGAAATACTAATGAGCTAACAAACAATGTATATACATACATGATTGTTTTTTGTACACACTCTTATAGAAATGCTGAAATCCATGATACGGTTGGTGGTAGAATAATTTGAATAGGGTAGATTCTAATACTCATTCGTCTCTAAGATTTTGACCTCCTTCTTAATCCATTTACACAACTTGTCCAGTTTCCAAAAGGAAATCCAAGAATTCTGTATATTTTAACACCATCAAAGTAATCTATTTATACTTTTTAAAGAATTTAACACTTATCTATTAATGTACACCACAAAATAAATATGTCAACAAATGTTGTGTCAATGGAGAAAATCTGTTGCTTCTTTTTGTTGTTCTTTGGTTATTTGTCTAAATTTTGATGTTGGGTTACTGTCTAATTTACACATACCCACATTTCTTTTTATTTATATCCATTGTCTTATGGAACAGATTAATTTAATTATTTAAGGCACAATTTTTGTTGTTTGGGGAATGGATTTCGTCTCGCCTGCCGCAAAACATGGAGATTACAATCTGGCGGCTGTGTTGGCATAAACTTTTTGTATAAAACTTTATATTTCAGAAGCTAGAAGACCTGGATTCATCATACCTTGTATGCAGCTACCTTATGTACAAAGTTTCTGTCTGTCTTATTTCAATTGTCCTTGGCCTCATTTTCATGGTTCAGTGACTGCTTGAAAAAAAAGATTACTGTATTTTTGAAAAGTGAAATACTCTCTTATTATGAGTATTAGGATAACTTTATTTGGTATATGGGTTCCTTGCAAGGTCTACATGTCCGTCAGGTAGGGTTCACCTGACCCCGACCTCATTTCATAGACCAGTGATCAAGGTTAAAGTTATGTAGTCAAGTCTGTATCTCAGATACTGTAAGCAATAGGTCAACTATATTTGTTGTATTGAATGATTGTAAGGTGAACATGTCCAACTGGGTCACTGATAGGTATCATAAGACCTTGACCGCAATTTCATGGTTCAATGGACAGTGTTTAGTTTTTGTGGTTTGGTCTATTTCTCAGATTCTTTAAGGTATAGAACCACTAATTCAGGCCCGGTCGGAAAGAACATACAAGAAAGTAGTACATATTTTAAACAAAATAGTTCCTACGCATAGCTGTATCTTTGTCAATAGTGGGAATATTTGGGTAGTTTTAGTATCAAATGAAAGCTTGGGGACTTGGGATCACTGTAGAACCCTTGTTGAAAGTTTTATTTGAATAATAAAGAAATATATGAAATTTTAATAGGAGGGCTCATTTGGCCTGTTGTTCAGATCAGAAGTTCCTGTTTTTGTACTATCAAACTTCCGGGAACCAGTACGCTCTAATATGCAATTAAAGGTATGTTGATTTTTTCAGCACAAGTCAGCATAAGGTACAGTTTTGACATGAAATAACTGCCACTCTATTTGAACTTCAGACAAAGTAGCCATTTATGCTTGAAATTGCAGAATTTAACATAGAAAGCAATGGGGCTATGAATTAGTGGTTTTATACCTATTACTGACAGGCATGTGAAATTCTATTTTTAGAAATCATACCCTTTACAGTGAAAATTGGTCACATTTGTTGTCAGAAATCATGTTACATTATTTTTTTTATGTAACAATTATGTTAGTGTCAAATTACAGCCCTCAAATTGCTACAATAAGGTAGTTTAGCCTTTTTTGGTCATTTACCATGCACACAGTTAAGATTTTACCTGAAATTTAAATTTTTGGATTATCTAACACTGAAACCAATGAAACTTGTATATTATGACTAGTTTATAGTATAAATATTGTTTTTGGTCAAATTATCTAGTGAGTGTTCAAGTTTTATTGTGTTTCTTGGTGAATTATTTATTTCAACGAAAATTGGTGTATACTTATATAGGAATTCCAAAATCTCTCTTGAAATGCATTTTATAACCATTTTAGCAAGTTGTCTAGCTTGGAGATACATAAATTGCTCTTGTTGACCCATGTTTGTACATAAAAGTATGATTTTTTTACCAAATCACTCTCCTTTTCCAACATGTAGAAAAAAGGGGGGACAAAATTATCAATTATATTTTATGTTTGGACTACTGTATTTATATTCAAGGAAGAATTTCTGATAAAAATAAGACATATAGGTAAGAACACTGTTATTTGAGTAGATATTAACAAATCAGAACTGGTAAAAATTGAAAAAGTGTCATATCTGTCACTATTGGTATCCATATGTAGTTTTCTTTGTTTAATGCATATATTACTACCAGTCCAATTTGAGCTTGAATTCAGTGATATAGTGTTTTGACAAAAGCTTTATGTGTTTTTCTATGCTAGAAATAGATCATAGAAGGAAATTAAGTCAAGCAGAAGTCAATATAACAAGTTTGGTGCTGTTATAGGTATAGAACCACTAATTCAGGCCCGGTCGGAAAGAACATACAAGAAAGTAGTACATATTTTAAACAAAATAGTTCCTACGCATAGCTGTATCTTTGTCAATAGTGGGAATATTTGGGTAGTTTTAGTATCAAATGAAAGCTTGGGGACTTGGGATCACTGTAGAACCCTTGTTGAAAGTTTTATTTGAATAATAAAGAAATATATGAAATTTTAATAGGAGGGCTCATTTGGCCTGTTGTTCAGATCAGAAGTTCCTGTTTTTGTACTATCAAACTTCCGGGAACCAGTACGCTCTAATATGCAATTAAAGGTATGTTGATTTTTTCAGCACAAGTCAGCATAAGGTACAGTTTTGACATGAAATAACTGCCACTCTATTTGAACTTCAGACAAAGTAGCCATTTATGCTTGAAATTGCAGAATTTAACATAGAAAGCAATGGGGCTATGAATTAGTGGTTTTATACCTTAAGCAATAGGACCACTATATTTGGTGCATGGAATTATTGTAAGGTGTACATGTCCAACTGGCAGGTTTTATCTGACTTGACCTCATTTTCATGGTTCATTGGTCAATATTAACTTTTTCTGAATTGGTCTATTTGTCAGATACTATATTTGGTGTATAGAATGATTGTAATGTGTATATGTCTGTCTGGCAGGTTTCATATGACCATTATCTCATTATCATGGTTCATTGGTCAATGTTATGATTTTGTGGTTTGATCTGTTTCTCAGGTACTATAATTGATTGGACCACTATATTTGCTGTATGGAATTAATGTTAGGTGTATATGTCTGTCTGGCATGGTTTATCTGACTGTGACTTGTAGTAAAACTTTAATATTATTGACTTTCAACATAAATTCAATCATAAGTAAAGTAGGCAAGACATTTCAGAGTGCGCACTCATGTTAAAATATTTCATTTTTATAGATATATTATTTGCTTCTGTTGGAGAGTTTGAAAAATTTGTTTGTATAAGGATTTAAATTTATAGATAAGGGGTATTTAAAAATTAAATAATCCTGTCAACCCTACTTTCAGTTTTGAAAATGGTTCACAAAAGCCAAAATTCGGCCTCAATAGTGGCTACATTAAGACTAGGTGAGAGATATCACTCTATACTGCCCATAATTATTAGATTTTTATGCCCCACCTATAATAGTAGTAGGGCATTAGGTTTTCTGGTCTGTGCGTCCATTGTTTCGTCCATCCGTTTGTCCGTCTCTCCGTCTGGCCCGCTTCAGTTTAAAGTTTTTGGTCAAGGTAGTTTTTGATGAAGTTGAAGTCCAATCAACTTAAAACTTAGTACACATGTTCCCTATAATATGATCTTTCTAATTTTAATGCCAAATTAGAGTTTTGACTCCAATTTCACGGTCCACTGAACATAGAAAATGATAGTGTGAGTGGGGCATCCGTGTACTATGGACACATTCTTGTTATTTCTTCTTTCTGTTTTTTTTTTATACTCCCAAAACATGAAAGATATATAAAGTTTATGTTACAACAGTTTCATTGAACCACTATAGATAAAAACGTTTCTAACATGTCAATGTATGAGAGTTTAAAAGATTTTAAGGATGAACCAAGTATTTAAAGTTGAAAGATCTTCATTTCTTGTAGAGTTTATGGTTTTAGAACTTAAAATATTGTTTGAGTATTATTAATATTTCCTTCAATAGTAGATGTTGTTTTGTATATTTAAAGTTTCATTATTTTTTATACAGTTTAAATATTGTTAGTTTAATTAGGCTTAAGTAGTGGGAATATTTTGTTTTATTAGGTTAAGAAGTGGGAATTTATGTATCTAGTTGAATGAAATTAAGAAAAAATAGTGCAATGACTTCAAATATTTAATATGCGCTTTTTCAGTTCTTTATGGTTATGTGCATATTTTTAACATACACATTGTTCTTTCCATTTGTAATTAATAATTTCAACTGATTATCATGTTTTCTCTGCTAAACTCCTTTCAAACATGATCTAACAGTTCTGATATTTTGAATTTCTTTTTCTTTTTTTGTAATTGAATTTTAACAACCATAACTTTAAATGCATATATAGAATGAATTTTTGCCTTCAAAAGATTACTGAAATTAAATCTATGTTAAAATATAATTTGTTACTTGTATAATGAATATATATTCATGTTTTTTATTTATGGTCATTTTTGCATGACTGTTACAGTATTATGAATTTTTAACATGAGGTAAGAATGCAATATCTATGTTTCTTGCAATTTCTTTATATTTTTCATGTTTTTCAAATAATTACAGAATTGGGCTAAAACTATACTGTATTAGCTGTTAAAATCAAAATTGACTTTTCTGAATAGATTTGCTCAGTTGCAAGATAATATTGATATCCAGTATGGAGGTTTCTGAAGTATTCAAACATGCAAAAAAAAAAAAAAACAGAACAAAACAAAAAACAAAAACAATTATTATTTTTCAGATCATTTGTTGAAAGTGCCTTTGACCAAAATTAAAGAATTCCATTCACACTTAGAGGGACTACATAGGATACCTCAGCATCAACTGTCCAATCAGGTATTATACAGTTTCATTTTTGTCTAAGTAATTGATGTGTAACATACTTTAACGGGGGTCTCAATGGGGGAGTCTGATCCTGGATCCCGCTTATTGTTTTGTCAGAATCCTGTATTCAACTTACCATTGTAATAATAGCACTTGTAATTTCACGTGTCCCGCCCTACTTCGTTTTCTGTTTTCACGCAAAATAATTTAACTTTTCCAGTGTCACGCTTACAAAAAATCGGCCAATCCAGCATCACGCTTACACCCCAATGAGACCCACTTTTACCCCAGACTGTATCTATTTGTTAAATGTAAAAAAAAGTCCATTTATCAGTTTTATACGGAAAAATGAAAATATTTTCAAAATTTTGTTTGGGATACTGTCTTTTGGTCATAATAAAACTTCTGTCCAAATTTCATAAAATTCCATAAGGTTTGACAAAGTTATTGATGACTGAAAAACTTTAACCTCAGTCTGAATCTGAATTTTCAAAATTTTGCTCTGAATACTGTCTTTTGGTCATAAACAAGCATTTGACAAAGTTATTGATGTCTAAAAAAAACTTTAACCACAGACTGAACCTAAATGTTGACGATGCCTGCAATGTAATCTAGGATCGCTATGTCTTGCTTTCGCAAAAAATAATTTTTGCAGGCTCGATAAAAACCAAAAGAGATTTAGATGTCTACCATAGACAGGTGTAATTCAATATAAATCAAGTTCTAAAGTGTCCAGGATAGGGAAAAAGTTGTGATTAAATTAACAGAGACTATCAAAGATCTACTGTCAACACCTGATATTCTCTCAAAAAAAATAAAAAAGTATTAGAAAAGACAATCACTGATTAGTCTCTGTTTTTGGATGGACAGGCATTTGAATATGTTGTTTGCCTGTTTTCTTACTATACAGGGGTTTCATCTACTGTTAGGAGGTTTTTAAGAATATCTAGAAAATAATGAGATGTCAATTAAATTATAGTTTTTTTATATTTTATTAAACTTAATGTAATAGATAATAATAAATTCTAGCTAATTAAGAATACTCCTACTGTTTGTTGTATCATTGTTTAGAATGAGTAAAATAATACAATGTCAGATTATGATTATCAATAGAATGAATACAATAATACAATGTCAAATTATGATTATCAATAGAATGAATACAATAATACAATGTCAAATTATGATTATCAATAGAATGAGTACAATAATATAATGTCAAATTATTATTATCAATAGAATGAGTACAATAATACAATGTCAAATTATGATTATCAATAGAATGAGTACAATAATACAATGTCAGATTATGATTATCAATAGAATGAGTACAATAATACAATGTCAGATAATGATTATCAATAGAATGAGTACAATAATACAATGTCAGATTATGATTATCAATAGAATGAGTACAATAATACAATGTCAGATAATGATTATCAATAGAATGAGTACAATAATACAATGTCAAATTATGATTATCTATAGCTGTTATTTTATTTTTCTTTCAGCTGACTTTAAGTTATTTCAACAGTAATGTGATAGATGTAAAAGGATACAGCCATGAAAAGGATCCGACAAGGTAAAAATAAAATCAGTTCCTATATAATATTAAAATATGGCTACTGTGCATCAACATGGATAAGGTAGTGTTTCTTAATGTTTTATCATTGTGTTTATGAGCTATCTTCCTTTTGACCTTTTTGAACTTTTCAGTATGATGAGATTATATTGATAATCATGAAAATGTCAACAGTATTAGAAATCTATACTACTAAGGGAAGAGACTGATTTTTCAAACACTCTCACTAATTTTTACAACTTGCATCACTTTATCAAACTCGCACAACTCAAAAAAAAAAAAAAAAGAAATATAACAAACTTGGAGAAATATGTTTAATTATTAGATTGTTTTCTTCTTCTCTTAGTAAATTCCTCCTTTCTCAGAGCACCCGTGTCACACAGAGACAGAACTCGCACCACTCCAAAAAAAAAATACTACAAACACCACTGAAGAAATATTTTAAATCATCAGAGAGTTCTAGATTGTCTACTTCTTATCTGAGTTATTTCCTACGTTCTTGGAGCACCCGTATCACACAGAGACAGAACTTGACTCGCACCTTTCGAAAAAAAAAAAAAATACTACAAATTAGCAACACTGAGAAATGTTCATCAGTGTTCTAGGTTGTCTTCTTCTTCTCTGAGTTATTTCCTCCATTCTAGCCTGTGTAACACCGAGACAGAAGTTTCTAATTGGACATTCAAACTCCTATGGAAGAAGAACCGACAAACTAATAAAAACTATCAACATAATGCATCAGTCCATAAAAACAGTTTGAGAAACATGAACCCAAGCTGTGTATCACCATAAACATTTTAAGTAGTCTTCAAGCCGCGCTCGGCGAGTAATTAAAATGTTATTAAAAGAACAGAAAGAAACTCATGGTCAGTTGAAATAGAATAATACATAAATAATAATATAACTTTAGAAAGAAAGCACAAGAGGACCTATGCATCTCATTTACTTGTTAAAAACTGTAATGATGAAGCACTGTTTCTGTAATATATTGTAATTTGCTAGGTTATCTTTAAATTGTTGTCTTATTCTCATTTCTTTTTCAGATTTAGATCAGTTCACTGTCATCTGAATCCCTACCTTTCTCAGTGTGTAGACATGCCAAGATGGTGACCAGTATTATATATTGTCCGGCTATACCTACAGGCTTCAGATATAACTATAGTGCTGTTACTGAAACGCTGCTGCAAGATATTATACTTATACTAGATACAAGTCTTTTTGTAAATGTATCATGCACATGCAGCAGAATGATTTCATTTTTTTTTAGCAATGATCAACAAAAGTTGTATTAGCAAACTTTTTGATACATGTGCAAACGATAAATTTTTTAGTCTGTGATATTGGCATAAAATGGTTGTAGTAGATTATATTTTTATAATTTGAGTTAGAGAAAATTATTGATTATTTATATGCTTCAAAAATGTTTACAAGAATTTTTATCCTTTGTGAAAACACTCTGGATTCATGTTTTTCAAGGGAGGTAATTATGTTAATTCAAAAAAGTAAAATCCAAGTTATTTTTTAGACAACTGTATGTTGAAAAAAAGTGTTGCAAGAATTTTTACTCTGAGGAAAAATGAAGTATTAATAAATAAAAGATAAAATATAATAAATAGGAATTTATAAATGTTATGAAACTAACAGTATTTACAGCACCATAATATTTACAGAGTTTATTTACAACTTAACAATGCATGAAAGTATAATTGACTTGGAAAATGTCTGTTACAAACTTTGCAAAGAAAAAATAAAGAGGGAACTAGCAAGAATGCAGCATTTTAAAAGAACAAAAGTAACAAGCCATTGGTTTGCAGTAGTGAGCCTACTAAAGATGCTTAGCGCCTAAAAATTACTTTAAATTGGGTATTGGATATAATGGATACTTATTTTATTTTGATATCAACATTTAAAGCTGCAGTTTGTTATGAAAAGTTTGATATAGAAAAATGTGTAAAGTTTAAAGGAAAATTAGAATTGAAATATAGTAGTTAATATTATTGTTGCAATACATTCCAGTTTGTTTTAAACAATGTTAAAGGAAACATAGTTTTGGAAGAAGAAAATATGTCATGATTTTTTTGCAGATTTTATAGTTGTAAAACTGAGCTCTTACTTTATGTTTTGCAAAGTTGCTGATACAACAAATAAAAAAAATAATAATTTCAGAATTAATGTTTGGTGCTTAAATGTGAAGTGCAATTGATTGATTAATTGGTTGTGTTCTGATCTCATTTAATTTTTATGTTTAAGTTCATATCGCATTCATCAAAATAAAGTTGTGACTAAAGTTTATAATGATATGAAATATGATTTTTATTGTTCTTTATTTTATTTTTCATTATAAGTTCCATGACATAAGGTAGTTTATAAATTTTCTTTCCTTTTAATTAACTAATAGCTGATTTATACATTCTCTTACCAGTCGATTATTGTTTTGTAATCAATGCATAGTTTGTTTGATTTCAGGTCTTCATTGATCAAAATTCAATCTTTCGCCTTAATTTTGCTGTTGCAACATCATAAAAAAAAGATGAAGCTGTCTGATTACATCACAAAGAAATAACTCATCTTTTTGTAGATTATTGAAAACAATATAAAGTTTGTCTAAAAGTCAATAGAGAAATCCCCACTGAATCTTGTGCAATCAATATTTCTCTGATCTCATCAGTTCACTTGTTCAGAGTGGTAAAAATATTTTATCGCTATTTTGTGTATATTTCCTTTGATATTTTTTGTGATAATTTTTCTTATCATGCTTCTTGCTTGAGATGAAAAATTATCGTCAAAAAGTAAGGGCGCACGTGCTATTGTCAATGTAAACATCAACGATGTCATAAGCAAAATAGCGATAAACAGATTATCGGTGGTCTTTCAAGCTCTAGGATGTTTCTCGACCACATCTTATCTTTGGGCTGTTGCATTCGATGAAGTTGTAGCTGAGAAACACCCTCTCGTTAAAAAAACCATCGATAAGATTTAAGTTTCACACTCAATGCAGTGGTAGAATAGATATTTATGTTTCACATGAGATTATATCATATATGATGTGTTAACATCAGAGAGATATACTATGAGGGAAAGACAACTCTTCTGGCTTACTGGTGTGTAACTATATTGTCTAACTGGTTAAATACTTGTTTAAATTTTGTTCATGTTTAAAAAATGTAGTATTCTTTTGATATATTCCTAATAGAATGAACTTATTTTAATGTTTTTCTTAGAAATTAAGGTTAGTGTCCTTTTTTTGTAACTTTTATTGCTAGAAATTTATATTGATTGTACTATATTATAGTGACTAAGATTATATAAGTAGGTATTATTGTTTTTATCTGTCTATATGTTATATGAAAAACCAGTAGTATATATTGTGAACAAAGTTATAATTTGTACAGAATTTTTGTACAAGTTATGGGTATTTTGCAAATTTTTTAACTTAAATGGATAAAACAAGCACACTGTCTTTGATTAAGCTTATCACTGTCATATAAACATGACTGTATGAAACATTTGCCACTGGACATTAAGCAACTAACAATCAATCACTGACTGCATGCTACAGTCTTAGGACACCAAAAGAAAATTGGTTGACTAAAAAATTTGGATTAGCAAAATCAATAGAAATAGAATCTAACCCAATCTGGTGTCCTCTGTGGAGCTTTATGCCAAAGAGGATGGTGTCCTCTTTGGAGCTTTATGCCAAAGAGGATGGTGTCCTCTTTGTAGCTTTATGCCGAAGAGAATGGTGTCCTCTTTGGAGCATTATGCCAAAGAGGATGGTGTCCTCTTTGGAGCTTTATGCCAAAGAAGATAACCCTAAGATTTAAGTATAGAAAATAGTGAGTCAAGCACCAACCTTGTTTATAATGGAAGATCAACTTGTATCACCTGGGGAAAGAAGCTGCATGGCAAAATACTGATAACTTTTACAAAAAGTCTGTACAAAATTATAGCTGGTACATAACATATACACAAAAAATTATAGAGTAAAGTATTAAATCAATTATGTATTTTTGTCTCACATTTCTGTAGATTTTTTTGATTTTTTTATGTTTGTATTTTAAATATGTTTTATGATAAAGTCTGCCAATATGATATAGATTATCCACTTTATTATGAGGTTTATGTAAGAAATATTCAAATTAGGGGTCAGGAGGAACAATTTGTCACAAAGTTCACCACACTTTAAGATTGTAATTGGTTTTATAGCAATCTTTTCTTACCTCAAGTTAAAGGTCAAGCCATCCATTATATACTTTATAAAGGTGCCTCTAAAACTTCTGGTTATCATTTCTGAAATAGACTGAAAACAGTATTTGGGCATAGGTTTACATGTAATTTTAGGTTTAAAATTAAAAGAAAACCTAAATGACCTTCTTTAATAAATACAGTAGCTTGCAAATTAATCACATACACCACCACCCAAAATGGTCACAATATTAAAATATTGGCTTTTTAAGCAGGGAAACTTAAGATTTATTTACCTTCAAATATAGTATCAACATAAGGTGAAAGATGAATACGTTTTCTGTTTTCATATTTTATCAGCCAAATTTCACAATTTATTGCTTACAGAATGCTCATTCAAATTCTGTTTTATAATCAGTCACTATTAACTTATCACACATACCCAGTATTAGAATATTTATTGTACTCACTTAACTGTCTTGCTTGTGGACTTATCAGTATTTAAGCAAAATCTTGATGAAGTTTGGAAAACTGTATTTCGATCGTTGATGTTGATATTAATTTGTCAATAGAATGGAGAAAATATGGAGAGTGGCCGTCAATCAAGATGAATTATTCCCATTTCAGTTATTATATGTCTCGTCAAATTATGTCTCTTGTTTTCTATCTTACGTTTTATCCCAATATCTACAAATATGTTTCAGTATTTTTCATGTAAGATTAGTTAGAAATTTCACATAGAAATAATCATCAGTAGACAATACTACTACACTCAACACTGGACATGAGACAGCTTTAAATGTGAGGAAAGTATGCAGAAAAGAGAGAGAAAAAATGGTCCCTTGTTCATTTCTGCCTTCTTTCCTTCCTCTCATGTTATCGCTGATGATATGGGAGGCAAACATATTTTATTAGTTTGCATTCAACACTAGATTTGTTATAACTTGGTTGGTCATTTCGGTTCCTACCTGAATGGAGAAATGCATGCTAGTAGAATAATTTCATTGAATTTTTATTGCATTTATTTTTTCTCTGATCAGCTTTTCAGTTGACATTGATTCTTGACTTTTAAAATTTTATGCACAAACATCTTTTGATATATTTTTGTGTTATAATAGTATGTATAACTACACTTACAGTGATTTACATACGGGTAATTTAGTGGAACTTCAGTAATTTATTGTAAGTTAAAATTATATAAATCAATTTTTGATTAAAAAAAGGATTTTCAGAAATTTCTGTTACTCTGTTACTTTTCAAAGTTGTAAATTTTGTGAAAAAAGTTAAAAATATAACGAATTACTGAATGTTCTACATTATTTGATTGTCATAAAGATGCCAAAAAAACGGTTGTGTTTAAATAAATTTTAGATCTGTATATATGTATTTGTTGTTTCAATTCAGTGGAGTGGAAAAAGAAGATTTTCAAATAATAGGAAATTTGAATTATGTTTGCAGGACAAATTAATTATATAAACAGTGAAAGTGCTTTTACTTGTTGATTCTAACTTTGGGTTTTCTTCAAGTATCATTAGTCTGGGGTTCTAGTTTTGTGGTTTTTGGAAATATCATTAGTACCTATTTACATGAATTATGATTTCAGTAATTATTCGCCTTTTGTTTTTAAATCTTGTTTTGGGAATCAGCATACAAAACATCAGCAGAAAATATTGTTTCATACAGTATTTAAATTTATGGTTTTCTATTTGAAAAAGAGATCCATAACAAAGATAAAAAAGTACTTTCACTTTCAGACCTGTATTGAGTGGGGGATAGGAGGCACTCAAATTAATTTAATATGGGTGGTTGCATTTTCCCTATTTTTAAGAATTAGAATTAAAATTAAAATTTGTATTTTAAGGTTTGTCAGGTCTTAAAAAAGAGCCTCCCATGCCCCATTCGTTTATTTCTGAAACAGTCCTAGAGTATTTACAAAATGTAAATAACTGCTTTTCCATTGTAAAGGTGATACAGAGTCATTGAACAAAAGTGTTTGAAAATTTTAAATATTAGATTTATATGCATCATTAGATTTTTATGTAATTGTTTAACAAGAATATTCAGTTGTATACAATTTTTATTTCAATAAAGGGACCAATATATATGACCACAGATATTTTCTGAATGTTTGTATTTTTTGTAAATTGTTATTTTTATCTGTTGATAAATAGATTCATTATATTTTGCTATTTAGCATCACAATAAAATTATTTTATGAATTAATGACTTGTTACATTGGCCCCAGCAATTACTGGTTTTGGTCAGTTTGTTGTCTTTACAAAGTATTTCTAGGTAATGATCTTAAACAAGTTTTAATTTTTTTTTTGGAAAAGTATTTCAGTAATATAGGGAATAGGATATTAGTTTCAGGATGCCAATCCAGTACCCAAGAATGAAGTCCCTTAATAAAACTACCATATTTTCATTGGGATATTATACTGAGATGAAAACTATATAAAGTTGCTTAAATTTGTAGTATATTCAAAGGGTATTCATTAAACTTTCAACTTCTATTAATGATTCTTAAAAGTATATGGTGGATGAGTGTCTAAGTAATTGGTCCAAATTTTATTTTTGTTTTAACCAGGAAGGGAATAAAATTATCCTATTAATACTGGAAACAGTATTGCTCTCTTATCATGGCCCATCAAGAATTCTCCCAGAAACCAGGAAAAAGGGGGTGGGGGCTACAAGTATGAGAAAGAATTTGAAATGTGACAAGTCAAAGTTAAGATTTTGAATTAAGAATCTGCCCTTCAATTATGATAATATTGTATTTGATTAATAGAGGAATTAATTTTGGCCCCATTCCATATGTAAGTATCAGTGTTTTTCAGTTGTGTATGACAAAAAATGACTTGAACCAATTATTTTTTAATCATACACATCTAATGAAACTTAAAGATAATAGCTTTGGTGTGTTCATTACACAGATCTCATCTGATTAGATAGAGATGTGTACAGGAAACCAGAAACCTTGTAACAAGCCTTTTGCAACCGAACATTACAAAACACTTTTTTTATGATCCCTTAATTGAAATCTTGTTGGCCAATTAAAATTAAATCTTATTTTCCCCCGCACAACGTGTTGCAGGGCACACAGAAATACCGGGCGTCTCTCCGTCCGGTGTTGTTAGCACTCTGGCGTGTACAATTCTTGCCAGATTTTTATGAAACTTAAATCATAGGTTTATATCAGCAATGTCTTTGATGAGTTAGAAAATCAGTGCTGATCAATTATTTTTATATGACTGCAAAAAATTTGCGTTTGTATATAGCTATCATGTCGTCGTCGTCCGAAGACATTTGGTTTCCGGACAATAACTTTAGTATAAGTGAATGGACCTCTATGAAATTTAACCACAAGGTTCAATAGCACAAAAGGAAGGTTTGGATTGATTTTGGGGGTTATGGTCCCAACTGTTTAGGAATTAGGGGTAAAAAAGGGGCCAAAAAGGCATTTTTCTAGTTTCTGGACAATAACTTGTGTATAAGTGTATGGATCTCTATGAAATTGTACCACAAGGTTCCATACCACAAAGGGAAGGTTGGGATTGACTTTAGGGGTTATGGCCCAAACCGTTCAGGAATTAGGGGCAACAAAAGGGGGAAAACAAGGTTTTTCTGGTTAATGGACAATTTCTTAAGTATTATTCTATGGATCTCTATGAAATGAGGGGGTGGACAGGGGGGTACCCTTCTCCCACCTCCCGTCCCTATCTCCCACCTCCCACTTTTAGAATCTTTTTTTCTCTCCCTCCTATTTTTTGTCTCCCACCTCCCACCTCCTTCAAAAGCTGTCCACCCCCTCTGAAATTGAAACACAAGGTTCCATACCACACACAGAAGGTTGGGTTTGAATGGGGTTTATGGCTCAACCCATTCAGGAATAAGGGGCAAAAAGATGGGGAGGGGGAGGGGGGAGGAAAAGGTTTTTCTGGTTTCCAGACAAATACTTAAGTATTAGTCACTGGATCTCTATGAAATTGTACCACAAGGTTCCAGACCAAACACAGAAGGTTGGGGTCAATTTTGTGGGTTGTGGCTTTAATCGTTAAGAAACTAGAGGCCAAATAGGGGCCAAAAACAAAACTTTTCTAATACTGGCTAAGCTGGTTCTAACATAAATTATTTCTGATCTATATAAAGAAACAACAAATACTGATATGGCAGGAGATACACACCAAACAGGGTGTGTAAATTATTATATTTAGTTTGTAAACAGATTATTGCACAACAGCAAAGTATTGCACAACAGCAAGAAATCTTCAATTGAAAATAAATACAAATTTTTTAACCAATTTCAATGAGGATTAATTTATAGTCTTGAATTGTTTGAGGTTTTTACCATGTATTACTATATTGGATATTTGGACATTTCTAAATAGGTCTACATTGAGGTCCAAAGGGTCCAAAATTAGACTTTGTTTGATGTCATCAAAAACTGAATTCTGGTGGTTATGTGATATGCTGAATCTAACTGTGCATTCAGATTTTTAATTTTGGGCCCTGTTTTCAAATTAGTCCATATTAAGGTCCAAAGGGTCCAAAATTAAACTTTGTTTGAATTCATGTTTTTTTTTATATGCTGAATCTAACCATGGAATTAGATTTTGGATATTGGACCATTAAGTAGATTAAATGTCCCATTTCAAAATTTTAAGTTATCTGACCACATTTATTCTGTGTCAGAAATCTATAATGTGTCAAATATTTAATCACTATCCAAATTCAGAGCTGTATCAAGCTTGAATATTGTGTCCATACTTGTAAACTGGTAAACGTGCATTTTTAAAAGAGTTATGCCCCTTGGAAACATTAATTATATGGAAAATTGCATCGTTAGCGCTCTCATTTGTACAATTCTTGCCAGATTTTTATGGAATTTATATCATAGGTTTATATCAGCAATGTCTTGGACGAGTTCGAAAATCAGTGCTGCCGAATTATTTTTAAAAGAGTTATGCCCCTAGGAAACATCAATTATATGGAAAATTGCATCGTTAGCGCTCTCATTTGTAGAATTCTTGGTAGATTTTTATGAAACTTATTTCGAAAATCAGTGATGCCGAATTATTTTTAAAAGAGTTATGCCCCTTGGAAACATTGATTATATGGAAAATTGCATTATAAGACTTAGTGCTCTCTCATGTACAATTTTTACAAGATTTTTATCAAATTCATATCAAAGGTATATGACAGCAACGTCTCAGACAATTTAAAAAATAAGTGCTGATCAAATCTTTTCAATGAGTTTCCCTTGGAATTATTAAATATATCAGAAATTGCTCTCAAGTCTTCAACTATCTGGTAAGATAATTTTAAAATGTTTAAAAGAATTTTTTTTTTTTTCTCAGTTAATTATTGTCCTCGGACAGAACAGATAAAATATGTGCAACGCGGGGGGCATTGGAACTCTGTTCTTTTATTTTGATTGAGTGTTTAAAGAACTTGTCATTGATTAACGTCGAAAATTTTATCAAAACATATGTTCATGATATTTCTGAAAACATGTCATATAATCACGCAGAAGAACCATTGATGATAGATCTTTGGCGTCTGTTAAATTCATTTATAAATGTCTTGACTAAGTGGGAATTTGACACATGTCTATATATGAGGACCATACTTTTAACCCATAGATGTCTTAAACTCACCTGACCCTACAAGCTTCTCTCATCACTTGATGTTTCGTCTCCGGTCTGTCTTCTGACATAAAAATTTTTTCCAATCTACATGATCTGAAGCAAGTTAGCCATTTGAAACAAAGCGTAACTGCAATCATTCTTAGAGTCTTAGTTTCAAAATGGAGTCTTTAACCATAAGAGATGATTAAAATATCACAAACTACATTATATGTTGGGGAGGGGGATTGTTTTAACGACTTGTATGGATTATTAACTTGATAATACTTTAATTACAAGTACTAATAACACAGATAATTTATAAAAAAGCATAAAACAGAGATGAAAAAAATGCTACATATTAAGATCTTTTTTCTGCAAACTGAAACTAATCACAGATTGAATCCAGAATCTATGATAAACACAACTATTTTCTGTTTTCCTGTCAACTGACATCTCATAATTACCATACATCTGACCTAGCTCACAAACTACCAGAACATGTCCTCATCGTGGTCATTTGAAAATAAAGTTTATGATGAAGAGTGACTGAAATCATTACGTCATAAGTTCTACTTGTCATTGAGAATATGTTTGGCATTTTATTGGTGAACTTGTTTTCTCGGTAACAGATCCCCACTTATCAACTTTAAGTCTTATCATTCATTTGAAATTAACGGTGTTTTTGCTGGTTATGACTTTGGAATTGCATGGCAGAGTGATTACTGCACAACAAAAGACGATTACACTGCCAACACCTGGTTCGTCCTTGTTTCGAAAATAATGCCATTCTGACTAACAGCAGCCCTATTGTTGTTTACCTCCTTGTATTTTGGTAAATGGTGGATAGATCACTAACTATCATACCACATTACCTTATTTGTATGCCCCCTCCATTAAGTGTTACACTTTCCGTCTGTACGTACGTCCAAAATTGGTTTCCGTTCTCCAACTTTAGTTTGCCTCAACCAAATGTTTTATCGGAAACTTATACACAATGCTTATTACCACAAAACACAGACCAAGTTCGAATTTGGGTTGCGTCACTTTTACCGTTCTTGAGTTATGTCCCTTTATAGCGTTATATGCAAGCGGTGGCATCATCGGTGTCCCATGGACACATTCTCAATTTATTTTTTCTATATATTTCATTCTTAGCTGTTTGTAACTTGTGTTTTTTTTTACGATATTTAAATTGAAATCTATATGCAACCTTCATTTTGTGCAAGCCATAAGCTTTCAAACACCTTAATACGCTGAACAACCTTTCAGTGGTAAAGCTTGCCACTGGAATAAGCAGCACCATGAATATTGTGTAACTATGCAAGGATAAATGGATTTTTTTTCACCAAGTGTGCTATGCAATAGTTGCTGACATATAATCACAAGACGTAAAGTCAGAGAAAATGACAGCTTATCATTACTTTATTTTGTTGGCTGATGGATATCTGCCCTATTTCAATGTTGATGTTGACACCTTTAAATTTAATCTACTAAAAACAACGCCTGATTCCTTGGATACTCTGATCTTTAGATTGTTCGCATCGACCTCCAACTAACGTCACACCATAGGTCCATAGGCACTTACTCGTCTCTGAAAAAATACCTATAAACTTTAATATACTAAAGTAGAGAGGTATTTTTTTTTCAAGTGCCTGTGCATAAATCGCATACATACGGATCTTAATAAAGTCAAATAAATGTCTCGCAGGACAACAATGATGTACCAGCGGTTTTGTTTAGCTTATTTTGACAAAATGGTACCAAACTAACTACTACTAGCGACGGGGAATTATATATAATAACCCGTTCCGTAAATGTTTAAAACAAAAAACAATAAATGGGGAATGTGTCTATGGGACACAGATGATGCCCCCACTTGCATGTAATGTTATAAAGGATCATAACTCAAGAACTGTAAAAGTGACGCTACCCAAATTTGTACTTGATCTGAGTTTTGTGATAATAAGCATTGTTTATAAGTTTCTTAACATTTAGTTGAGGCAAACTTAAGTTAGAGAACGGAAACGAACAAATTCAGCAATTTTTCCATTTGTAAACGGACATAACTCTAGAACAGTAAAAGTGACGCCACCAAAATTCGAACTTGATCTGTGTTTTGTGGTAATAAGCATTGTGTATAAGTTTCATAACATTTGGTTGAGGCAAACACAAGTTAGAGAACGGAAACGAAAAATTCTGCAATTTTTTCCATTTGTAATGGGGCATAACTCTAGAACGGTAAAAGAGACGCCACCAAAATTTAAACTTGATCTGTGTTTTGTGGTAATAAGCATTGTGTATAAGTTTCATAACATTTGGTTGAGGCAAACTAAAGTTAGAGAATGGAAACCAATTTTGGGACAGACGGATAAGGGTAAAACTTAATGCCCCCTCCACTACGGCGGGGGCATAAAAATACACATATTTTTTTCATATAAAAAACTGTCAAATTGTAACTAAACTAATGCTGCTTAATAGTAGCTAATCTTTAGAGGACACCACAGATAGCGGCATTGGTAAGTACTAGATAAATAACACATGTGTTGATTTATTTTTTGCAAGCTTTTATTTGGTTTAAAAGTGAGTGTAACATTTAAAATCCACGTGTTAAGATCACATTAACTAATAAAAAAAACTTGCATTTTAACATACTAGTAACATATAATAAAGTATATGGTCTAATAAATTACAAGACAATAATGGCGTTTTTATATTTTTACATTTTCATTACAATCATAACAATAAAGATTAACAACTACATCAAAGGACACTATTACTATCACATTAAAACAGACAAAACATTTTATTCAAATACTGCAATAGGTGGCCTGGGTATACTGCATTTGTTCAAATCTTTATTGGAGCACACGTATACATATATAGTTACCGTCAATGACATGAATGACCTTTTCGTTAACTCAATCTGATCTAAATAGATATAAGATTTGGTATGAGTGCCAATGAGACAACTCTCCATCCAAGTCACAATTTGTAAAAGTAAACCATTATAGGTCAAAGTACGACCTTCAACACGGAGCCTTCAAAGAATATAAACACGACAACATAAAGCCAGTCGATTAATAAACCACTAGACGGCTTTTTTCTTTACATTTATTTGCTAATCGACCTATTTTCTTACAGGTTTTTGTTTATAATGTTGTTAAATAAATAAGAGTCAAAACGAATGTAAAACTTATTTTTCAAAGTATTTTGTTTATTTTGTTTATTCAAGAAAAATATATCTCAAAACTGAATAATGAGTCTTTGTCCGTGACGTTTTGTTTGATTCCTTTTGTCCCGTGCCTTTTTGTCTTGCAGTCAATATATTAACGACTATCAATTTCATCTGTGAGATATAAATACTCTTACACAAACAACAAAAACATGTGGCGGATCTGTACTGTACATGTACAATGTGACCAATAATGAAAATCAAATATAGCAATTTATTATAACTCTAACAATGTTTCTACAACCTTTTAAATAAGTTAATACATAAAGTAAGTGCAATTATAATACAATATATTTGATAAACATCTTCTTAATTAACGGGGCCTCGGTGGCCAAGTTGCCTAAACTAGATATCATTGAGATGGGAGCCATCTCTGTGGGCCCCGCTGTGAATAATGTGGTAACAAATTTGTATCTTTATCATTGGACATGGGGTTGTCAACTGAAACCAGTTTTTGACCTTGACCTTTGACCTAAGAAGTTGTACATACATTATGACACACCCTCTGGTGTTGGTTTATATACATATCAAGTATAAACTTTGAAATCATAACGGTTCTCAAGATATAGAGCGGACACGATCTTTACCATAGGACATGGGGTTGTCAACTAAAAACAAAGTTTTTGACCTTGACCTTTGATCTAGGAAGTTGTACATACATTATGACACACCCTCTGGTGTTGGTTTATATACATATCAAGTATAAACTTTGAAATCATAACGGTTCTCAAGATATAGAGCGGACACGATCTTTACCATAGGACATGGGGTTGTCAACTAAAACCAAAGTTTTGACCTTGACCTTCGACCTAGGAAGTTGTACATAAATTATGACACACCCTCTGGTGTTGGTTTATATACATATCAAGTATAAACTTTGAAATCATAACGGTTCTCAAGATATAGAGCGGACACGATCTTTACCATAGGACATGGGGTTGTCAACTAAAACCAAAGTTTTTGACCTTGACCTTTGACCTAGGAAGTTGCACATATATGTCAAGTATAAACTTTGAAATCATAACGGTTCTCTAGATATAGAGCGGACACAATTTGTTAAGGACGGACGGACGGACGGACAGATGGGCAGACAGACGGACGGACGGACAGACTGATCACTATAGGGCGTCCGCCATTCGGCGGGGCCCTAATAATTCTTTACTCTAAAAAAATTAACTAGTCTGTGAACACTGAGGTTGTGAGTTCGAATCCCGCACGTGGCAGGTGCGTTCGATTCCAATCTTAATTGACTAGGATTGTCAGTTTTCCTGTGGACGTTGGTTCTCTCCGGCTTTTCTCCACCGATAAAAAACTGACAGCCTCGCCAATAGTGCTGAATGTGGCGTTAAACACAAACAATCAATCAATCTTCTTAACGTTCTGATTGAATAACGACACAGTAAGCAATGGATCTACCAAGGAAGCATCATTATTATCATTTTGGTGAATGAACAATATCCCAGAATTCTTAGATTTTAAAACGTTGTCACTACGAATAGCTAAGGTACCTGGAAAAGAAATGTTATGCACATATTGTAAGTACTTCAATCTTTAAAAATAAAATTGGTCGTATATAGTAAAACAAATGTATCACGATTAAGCTCTGCATGGCAATGGTATACAATAAGCAAATTGCACAGAAGTAATGTAAATGAAAAATATATACTAATACTAATAATAACATCCAAGATAATTACAATAAGTAATCAAATTAAAAATCACAATCATCCTCTTTTGTAGGTATAAGGCATCATGTGACTTTTGTGCTTTGTCACAACTTAAAGACTCAAGCAATATTGGAAGACTTTTGGGTGGAAATGAGAGGTAGTTTTCTTCCTTATGAATGCGTACATGCAAATTATATAAAATGAACGACGATGCGAGCGACATGAAGTTGACTAGAATTATGACAGACTATTCGTGTTGTATGAGTATTTACGTATTATCTTTTGGTAAAGCTCACGAATTATCACGACGAAAAATCCAATTTATATTCAACAAGTTGGTACCACTCGCCCAAACTGGTTATAATAAGTTAATAACCCATCCCATCTATAGGATCTAATATCCCAAATGGGATATAAATTTACAATGCGAAAAATCTAAATTTGGATTGCATCAAAATATTTAGATCAATAATCGTAACTTCAGGAAATGGCTATTCAAGGAAGTGGATAATTTTCTTGTTTGATCATCTGAAAACAACAATTTTCCTTAAGTACATGTACCAATCTTTTATAAACAGTCAGATATTCAGGAAAGTTGCTCACAAAAAGTTATTGCCTTTTAACTGATTAATTACACTTTGCAATATATTCCGCAAAATAAAAAATATTTTTTTTGGAAATTTGGTGTGTTATATCCAAAAAGGGTTATTAATTTATTAAATTTCATTTCGGCGAGTGGACCCAATCTGTTTATAAACATAAATTATTTCGCCAACTAGACTTGTTTGCGGAATATTCTTTGTTGACGAAATAATTTTCTTAATAATTACTCCATGATCACAAATTATGCTTCAATTCTTATCACTTCAGCTGTCGCCTATAAAACACCACTTCCATACAAAGCAATTATTAAGATTATAAGTGCTATTGCAGTTACTAGAATGCAGACGAGAATATAAGTCATCCTTTTAGACTTCTTTTTAGCTTTCTTCCGAGTTTTTACTGCAAGCTTTTTAAATTCGGCAGTCTGCAAAAGAATAAAATTAAATCAAATATTGTCATATTCAAAGAAAAATCGATTTCAAGTAGTCATAGTCAAACGAATAAAAAATACTGGGAGTAGTCGGTAGTGGTGATAATACTGTAGGCGCTGAGGGTGGGGATAATTTTAAATCCAAAATTAATAATTGATTGAGTGTTGTTCGTTTAATTCCAGGTGACAAATATGCCATGCATATTCAGGCCTAGAACAAATTATACAATACTTCGCCAAACAAAGGTTAGTAAAGCCCCGCAAATCAGAAGTGTGTACCGATGTGTTATATTTTTACAGGTGTCTTTAGTAACATGGTGCAATACGAATTGTAACGCGTTTAAAAATACAATTGAAAATATATACATATATAAATTACCAAGAAATTTGTTTATCCAACGCAATCATAGGTTTGAACGTTGTTTTCAATTTATACTTGTTTATATTATTTCGTTTTGGCTTGTATTATATTTGCCTTCGGGTTTATATGATCCGTTCATCCTATTTTGACTCTTTCAAAATTAAAGAGTCTATCCTAAATTGAGGTAAATTATATGGCCTTCCAAATACCGTTTCGATTCCTAACATCACTGAAGAGACATTAATTGTCGAAATCCGGATATGGTGTACTAATTTTTGCACCTTTTGTTTGCGGTATACCATCTTTTCCGCAAGTTTATTGTTTTCTGTTTGGTAATAAATTAATAATAAGATCTATTTTGTTACATCTTGTGATCCGTTTATTTGGCAATCGGCAATGGCAGTCAGCAGGGTTTAAGAACATATATTTATTCAAGATAAAAAGGCATGAATTTGACAGATACATAATATTACAAAGACACAGATACAGCACTAGACATAGTTTATAGACACTAAAATGATATACATGTTTACTAAAAATTTTAATTTAAAAAATAAAATTATGAAAATTTTCATGATATTTTGATATGAATAGACTAGATTAAATAATGAGTGAAATTTAAATTGACTAGATTTTCACTGTAGCATAATATCTTAGGATGACCCACAAAAGTTATTTAAACTTATTTCCAGTGGGGTCCTTTTATAATGAGACTTCCAGTTTACACCAAGAGTTGACACATAGGAAATACAAGCACAAATCATTTAGAATTTATCACAGATATATGGTAAAAGCCCCAGTATAATTAATAAAAAACAAATTCACTATTAAAGATGGATTTAAATTTATCCATCAAAAACTTTTTCACTTGTACTTTAAAATTATATTTTTTAGAGCAACTTTTAATCATGTTCAGTAACGAATTCCAGTCTTTTATTCCATTATAAAAGAAAGTGGTGGATTCACACCCTTTGATTCCTGGTATATAGAAGTTTTTACTACTAGATCTTGTATTGAAAGATGTTTTATTTTTAACAAAATTAGTATGTAAATAATTTGGGCATATATTGTTAAAAATGTTGAAAACACGATTGAGTCTTAGTTGTTTGACTCTATTTCTAATATTTAAAAAGCCCAATTTCTTAAATTCAATATATGTCACACTCTTTCTGGGATGTAATTGCAGAATAAATCTCACAATCTTATTTTGTGCCACTGGAAGTTTATTCTTCATTTGTTTTGATATACCTTCATACCAGCATGCACATGCATAGTCAAAATGACATTGAATTAGAGAAGAGCACAATGTTTTCCTAGATTGAAAATTTAGACACTCTTTGTTTCTATATAAAAATTTAAGCCTTTGATCGACTTTTTTCACTATAGAGTTGACAATAAAATCACCAGTTAGAAACTGATCAATTATTATTCCCAAATATTTTACAAAAGTTTTATATTAATACCATTACAGGAGATAGCAAAATCACCCAATTAAAGACCGAAGTTTTCGACCAGGACCAAAAATTATACTCTCCGTCTTTCCCAAATGTAGGGACAACTTATTGTCAGTTAACCAATCATGGCATGATTCCAGCATTCTGGATAATTTATGCGAGATGACCCCAGGGTCTATATGGGAAAATAAAATTGCAGTATCATCTGCATATATCAAAACTTTACAATCTGAGTCGATGCTAGTTTGAACATCATTGACATAGATCCAAAAACAAAAGTGGACCCAGTAAGCTACCTTGAGGGACACCACATGTAATATTACACACTTCTGAAATCACCCCATTTACACTTACAACCTGTTTTCTGTTTGTCAAATATGACTCAAACCAAGGTATAGATCTAACCCCAATTACTTCTAATTTGTCACATAATATCTTGTGATCTACTGTGTCAAATGCCTTCTGTAGGTCTAATAGGACCATGCCTGTAAAAAGACCTTTGGCTGTTTGAGCTTTAATGTGATCTATCAAGTGAATGAGACAAGAATCAGTTGAATATGAACTTCTAAATCCTGATTGAAACTCAAATAATAAATTATTTGAAATAAAATAATTTTCAAGTTGCTTATAGGCAGCTTTTTCTAGAATTTTAGAAACAATACTTAAAATGCTAACAGGCCTGTAATTTTCAGGCTTAAGTCTGTCATTTTTCTTAAATAGGGGCTTGACCTTAGCCATTTTCAAATCGTCAGGTACCGTACCTTCAGAGATAGATAAATTTATCAAGAAAGTAATGGGTATTTTCAGAATGTCAGTTGTTCGACCTGCTAGTCAAATGCGTTTTGTTAAAATATACTTTTTCACTCATTTGGTCTTTTGGAAAATGTTGTTTGTGCTGTATTTAGACCCCTCTACCAAGAAATTTGTTTTGCATGCACACGTATAAAAATTGCGGTTTTTATCCAACGCAATCATAGGTTTGAACGTTGTTTTCAATTTAGACTTGTTTATATTTTTTCGTTTGGGCTTGTATTATATTTGCCTTCGGGTTTATATGATCCGTTCATCCTATTTTGACTCTTTCAAAACTCAAGAGTCTATCCTAAATTGAGGTAAATTATATGGCCTTCCAAATACCGTTTCGATTCCTTACATCACTGAAGAGACATTAATTGTCGAAATCCGGATATGGTGTACTAATTTTTGCACCTTTTGTTTGCGGTATACCATCTTTTCCGCAAGTTTATTGTTTTCTGTTTGGTAATAAATTAATAATAAGATCTATTTTGTTACATCTTGTGATCCGTTTATTTGGCAATTGCCAATGGCAGTCAGCAGGGTTTAAGATCAGTTGTTCGACCTGCTAGTCAAATGCGTTTTGTTAAAATATACTTTTTCACTCATTTGGTTTTTTTAAAAAATGTTGTTTGTGTTGTATTTAGACCCCTCTACCAAGAAATTTGTTTTGCATGCACACGTATAAACATTGCGGTTTTTATCCAACGCAATCATAGGTTTGAACGTTGTTTATATATATATATGTATCATTGATGAAAGATCAGCAATTGTGTTATATATTGTATACTTTTCGCTAGTTATTTCCACTTTTAGATTAACTCAGTAGCTATTGTCTAAAACAATTCACACGTGTTCTATTCGTTTAATGCTGTAGTAGTTTTTCTTAAAGACGTGTTTTACTAAAGATTAAATTTTCAAATTAAGCTATCAGTTTTCAATGTATAACTTACCGTCTGTTCTGACAGAATTCCAGCTCTAGATTCCAGATCCTCTAATTTACCCTCCCTCTCGTGCATCTTTATTATATTGTTCGACATTATGTCTTTAGTCTCAGACACCTGATTTTCTAGAGTTTCTAACATCATGTCACTATCCCCTGTTTCTCCACCATCTCCATGTCTGGTCTTTCGGTTTTTCCTCGGCTTTAAAATAACAAAAATACATTAACCTGTAATGATGATGGCAATTATAAATGCATTGTTATCCTTTTTCTTTCTATGTTTACTTATTTGTCAACTTAAAGTGATCAATATCAGCAGTGGATCTCAGGTTCTTTGGAAGGGTGAGCAGATCCTGTAATTTGATTGATCAATTATGTGTTTTTAAAGGTAACACTTGTAGTTCCATTTGTGAAATAAAAAGCAGGCACCGTTGAGAACATATTATTTCAAACTACCGTAAACTTCTCAATGCTATACGTGTCTACATCAAGCCAATGATCTCGACGTTTGCCGTCACTATTCTTTCCTGTTTTTTCCCCTGACAATCTAGTTTATCCATGACTATTTATTATCTAGGCTCTAGGTAATTTCGAGCCCACATGCCATATAATGGCCATCGTCCCAGACCGCTAAAATAGGCAAAAATACCGAGACAGAAAGAATAAGAAAAAGAAAGAATAGCATCTGAAATTGTTGTTATGATGAAGGTAAATCCAGAATAGCGCTTCGGACGTACGAAAATAAAGTGTAATTTTCATTTACTAGCACTGGATCGATACCACTGCTTGTGGACTGTTTTTCGAGGGTTTAATCAGTGCTGACATAATTTATAACATTTTTTGCTTAAATTCACCGTTGATAAATTGAGAAAATGACTAGAAACTGAGGTTCGAACTCCAGCAGGCAAAGTTGACATTAGATGGATTTGGCTATTCTATTTTGGTCCCTTTTGGTCATATATCTGCTGACCTACATGTTATACACCTCTGGCTTTTAAAAGTTTAGGTTTGAGCGTCCCTTGTGAAGGCAAGTCAAGAAATCGGACTCATGTTTATAAGCGTTCTTTCATTTATTAGCACTAGTTTGATACTAAAGCTGAATGAATTTTAGTCCTAGATGGTATCATCAGCTCAGTAGTCAGTTCGTTGTAACTAACATAAATTGTCGGTGCTGCCTTAATCTCGCTTTTTAACGCCGCCACGGCGAGAAAAAAATTACTAGGAACCGTTACACATGTCCTACTCACTCAGGAAACGTTGACCCAAGATGAATTTTGATGTTTTTTTTTAATCTCTTTTGGTCAGTTAGCGCCTACCTGTTTACGTATTATACACCACAGACTTTCAGATGTATGGGTTTGAGCATTCATGATGAAGGTAAGTCCAAAAGAACGCTTCGGACACAAAAGTCATGCAATTTATAAGTGTTATTTCTTATTTATAGCATTTCTTTGAGATTATTATATTTCTTATGGTTAAATGCAATGATTAGTTATTTTTGTTTTATTATTTTATATCCTTCATAAGGCACACGAATTAATAGTTCTGTTGCCTGCCTCCCTACCTACTTAAGTGAACCACCATTATAGGTCAGAACATTTCCCTACATAGTCTATATAAAATATTTTTCAAAATAGAATTATTTTTCCTACCTAAATACCCAGGAACCAGGAAATAAGTTATACAACTGATTACACCACACACGCGCGTTTTCCTCGCTTGCTTTAATAATTTATTACATATTCAACATAAAATTTGGTTTTCAACTGGCCATCAAATGGACCCTCAAATAGTTGTAGCAAAGATTTATTAATGTGCAGAGAGTGTAAATGTATTTTAACTGGATTTCTCTCGTCTAGAATATATACCATTTTTAGAGCGAATTCTTTTGGAAGTACGCAGCCACGTCCCTTTTGAACCGGGACTTTAAATCGGAGTCCTAGTTTAGGGAGTGGCGTGCAAACTGCAACCTTATAGAACGATGCTAAAGGGGTTCATTTGCCAGGGTTATTCAACTCACAGAGAATTTGGAAATTGCGAGTAATCAGATTAAATTTCCGGGATGTGCGAAATTATTAACATCCTTAGTATTCGAAAAATTCAAAGTTTTGAAAACAGTTGATTCATAATAATGACCATATATCAATGATAATGCATATCAACACAGAAGTGCTGACTACTGGGCTGGTGATACCCTCGGGGAGGAAACCTCCACCAGCAATGACATCGACCCATTGGTTGTAAAAAAACTCATCATAGATACCAGGATTAAAATTGTGTACGTTTCATCGACAAAAGACTCATCAGTGACACTCGAATCAAAAAGTTTAAATAAAGTACAAAGCTGAAGAGCATTAAGGACCCAAAATTCCGAAAATGTTTGCCAAATACAGCTAAGGCAATTCAAAGTTTAGTGAACAGTTAATTTATAGTTATGACCATATCAATGATAATTCATGTCAACACAGAAGTGCTGACTACTGAGCTGGTGATACCCTATTGTTACAAAATTGATTCCAATTCCATTTTCCTTTAATGTATTTTTTAAAACAATTTGTAAATCCTTAATTTTGTTCCCATTGCATTAGCAGCAACTCTTGCACATCAATGAGTTAAACTTGTTTCATACATTTATCTCAAAATCACAGTATTGGCAATTTAATAAAAAATTTAATTTTACTTTATACGATGCACCATTTTTGCCAACCCCAAGGGTCACCAGCGATTCCCGGCCCCCTTTTTTTATCCGGCTTTATTCCCACGGCTGAGTACTTAAACATCCAGATTCTTAAACACCTGTCTATGTTTATACAATGTAGATATATTTTTGCACCTCATGTTTGCGATAAACCATCTTTTCCGCAAGTTTATTGTTTTCTGTTTGGTACTAAATTAATATAATTAAGATCCATTGTGTTACATCTGTGATCCGTTTATTTGGCAATCGCCATGGCAGTCAGCAGGGTTTAAGAACATCCGTTGTTCGACCTGCTAGTCAAATGCGTTTTGTTAAAATATACTTTTTCACTTTTTGGTCTTTTGGAAAATGTTGTTTGTGCTGTATTTAGACCCCTCTACAAAGAAATTTGTTTTGCATGCACACGTATAAAAAGTGCGGTTTTTATCCAACGCAATCATAGATTTGAACGTTGTTTTCAATTTAGACTTGTATATATATATATATATATATGTCCATATTGCGTTCGTTGTATGTTTATTATAATTTTTGGTGTATGAATTTGCGCTTGTTGCTTATTTGTTCTTTACTGAGATTCTATGTGTCAAGGTGACAATTTTACTTTTGGTAGTATACCAATAAAATGTCTGAGTATGTATTAAGTTTATACAGACTACTTTCGTTTCTCCTTCCGATATTGATGTGTATGGCATTATAATAACGAAACTATAAAAGTTCCCCAAAGAAAATTACTGCAAATAAACAATATATAGATATGTTGCCTGGATATTATCGAAGATTTATCTGCAAGTTACCTGTTGTACATGAATACGTGTATTATGTATTTTTTACTAACATAATGGCGTCCGACATAAACAAAAATGAAGGACACATGTACATAATGACATATTAATTTTGTGTTTACTTACCATTATGTATATGCCCTGTGTTGTTTATTTTACTTCCGTGTTTACTAGTCGCTAATAACAGCTAGACAGATCGTCTTTCATTATTAATGACAGTCCGTTGTCGATCGAACTGAAAAGGTTACTACATGTGATATAAATAGATCTGGAAATTATTTACATGTTTTGTTTTGTATTATGTCACAACCTGATCATGTGCTGGTTTTCGAAAGGATATTAAGATATGTCATTAGAATATAGCAAAGTGCTCTCAACCAATGAAATTGTAGGATCTGATTCCTCTTAGTTGTGAAGAATGAATGCAAATCATGTTCTTAGTAAGGGATTATCCTATTATTTGGGTCTATTTACAGTTCAAAACAAAGAGTTTCTATAAATGAGTTACAACTGCCCCCAAGCACATTTATCAGATTGAAAGGATTTATCACACAGTGACTAAAAGTTGAATTGTGAAACAAAGAAAAAACTCTAAATAAGTTGAAGTTTACTGTGCAGTAAAATTGGTACCGTGAATGTTATTATTATAATATTCTTCAAATTACTAAATAATTAAACAATATCAAAGCATTTGCAAAAAAAAGAAAAAAAAAAGCTTTGAAATAAAAAAAACAACAACTTAATATTTAGCTTTCAAAAACTTTGATTACTGGATCAGCAGTTTGGAAGAATAGTTATTTCCAATATTCCGACAAAATAAAAAAAAAAATTAAAAAAAACAGGAATTTAATTTTAGTTTTGAACATATTAAAAACTTTTAAAGGCATTTTATTTGAAAATTTCCCTGACATAATGAAATAGCAAAGCCAGACCAAAATATTGGCTGTTAAATAAAATTTAGTTGTAACTCAAATGTATCATTTGATTTACATGTAAACTGTAAATTAAAAAAAAGGATAATTTCTCACTAAAATATTACATGATATGCATTCATACTCACAATCAGGAAACATATACAATTCCTACAATTTCTTTGTTCTGTTGTGTCACCTAATATCTATAACGAATATTTTTTTTAAATAATTCCCAAATGATATGGAGGTCCTTCCATCACTAAAACTTATCCATAAATGAAATGCCTAAAAAGGAAGTCATGCATTAATTAAAAACATTGCACTGACAATGAAACTAATTCTTAAATACAACCAATTAAGAGATCATTTGAGAACCTTGACCACTTTACAATATTCTAAGTTTGTAAGAGAATGATAATCCCTTACTTCATGATAAGTTCTCGCTAACGCTCGTACTTAATCATGAAGAAAGGGATTATCATTCTCTTACATATAATAAGATCAGAGGCGGCTTTAGGGGATTTATGGCTACATTTATGGTTAATCCAGACTTTTTACCTGTTCCCACTCCAAACTTTGTCTAGTATGGAGCCTATATGGGCCCCCTTTTTCAAAATCCTGGATCCGCATCTGTAAGATATGTAATAGGACCAATTTTATGACTATCATATGATATGTCAGTATAATGTCATATCATGTAAATCGAACATATTTTCTTTTATTTTCAATAATGATTACAAAATGATGCTAATAACTATAAAAATAATAAGTATGAAAATAATAATTATTACCTTTCTTATTATTAACTAATATATTTTTTTTTTCAATATAACGAACATGAACTATATATAAAAAGTAACTAGAATATGAGTTGATAATTTGTTTAAATTTAGTTCGTATATAATGCTTAAATTCTAGAACTTCGCGTTCATGTATTATTATACATGAAGTGTTATTTAATTGTGAATACTTTTAAGATTTGTTACATCGAGTACCCGCTTAACGAAATGCCAATGCAAATCCGTTAATAAACTACTTTACATAAGAAAGTGATGTTGTAACTTTTATCGATCGGACGTAATTGTGTATAAAACATAAGACTACGGAATACAAGACAGGAGAAGTTTTAAGTGATCATTATTCTGTACTCATGCGACTCTTGTTTGTGTGAACAATATGGGGGGGTTGTCCCTTTTACCTTAAAAATCCACAGCGTAGACCTTTTTTATTTTCAACACTGGCTTTTCATTCTTTGATTAGTTTTAAATAGTTCTGATTTCAAAAGCAAGACCTCATCCATCTCCTTAACCATGCACTTGTTTTAGTTGTCTAAATGAATTGCTCTAACGGAAGATCGAGGTAATTCACAAAAGCCTATTTTGGTTCGCTAAGTTTAATCAGTAGTGGACCCAAGAACTATTAAAAAGGAGGAGTGGTTACCTGTGCATAAGGGGAGAGGAAATATTTAATTCTAGTTTATATCGCTTTCACAACAATTTGAAGACATTAGGACTAGCAAACTCCAAATCTTTTTCCGTTCACATTTTCCTTACTAGTAAAAAATCATATTTTAACACTGATTTTACCTTACTAGGTATAATAAACAAAACTACGTATGGCAATATTTATTTAAGCTTGGTACCCCAAGCAAATAAACCCCCCAATAACATACATATCCCCATCATATAACAAGCAAGTACATGTAACCAAAATGTCCCAAACCCCAAAAGGGATAATTAACGTAAATAAACGTTCATCCATATCAGTGTCTACATACTGATAAAAACAATCACTTGACCAGTATCCTAATAACTTGATGTCACTATCCGAGAGTCCTACTTTTCTACCCCATGTAGCTGCCCATCGACGAAAAGAATGACCGCCATAACTTGACCGATCGATTTTCATATGTTACAAGATAAAACGGAAGCTATATAATAATACATTATAAGTCTGGCAAGATTGGTCTGATAAGCGAAAAAAGGGGGTCCAGTGGATCTCCTGCTAAGGCTAAGACATTATACATGGCTGTAGCGGGACATAAAGGATGATCATGCAAGTAAGGCAGTACAACCTCTATAGGCTTAGAACGAAACTGAAGGGTCTTGATGACTTTAAGGCGTAGCAACATGCCCCAACTACATGGCAAAACATCTATCTATCTAAGAAATTATTAGGTCGCAAAAAACCGAAAAACCCGGATAAACAAGCGGCCCAAAAACAACATTATTATGATTCGCCATATCTAAAAATTTCTAACATTTAACAAAAGTTCGGGAGTAACTGGCGCTTTACAAGATTGGCTTGTGCCAATTCTCGCTTAACCCCAGTTAACAAATGCTTAATATTCCAAGAATCGGCAACAGGGTCCTTTAGGTCATGCATCTTATTTGAAACACTAATAATGTTTATGTAGGAACGAATAGAGTTATAAGCAAAATGTTTCTTGTCAACTAAATAAACAATATAAAGCTCCACAGTTGTTTGGTCACACGGCACTGGTTTAAGCTTGTAGTCTTCACAAAATGTAACATACGTCTTCAAGTGCGTACGGTGTGTCCCGGGGGTGGAATCAGCCAACCCCTTGCCTTTTAATCGTTCTACAGCTATCTCTAGGTCCGACAGAAGATCTGTGCCATCTGGAAAGGTAAAAGTCAAACGAAACATGTGTCAGTAGTTCATGCACAGTAAAGGGAATGAAACTATAGCTAGTCAATATTTCATAAAGTTTAGAAAGTTGACTGTCCTCGTGAAGCCTCGAGGCAGCATTGGCTATGATATTACATCGTCCACTCAAATATCTTGCTTTAATGTCAAAGTAATATATATAGCGGATAACCAAAACAAATCCCTCAGTAAGCACATTAACCATTTGTTTTTTGAGGTTCCCTTATTCAAAACGCATTTGTCGTCATATTGTCTGTTAATACAATGACGGATTTGTTGGTCCATAAGTGTCCCCAACGGAGCACAGATAGAATAACGGCGGCTGTTTCCTTAATGTTATTATGTTCATTCTTGATGGCCGGAAAGTCAATAGCCCAATTCACATAGTAGAAATCTCCCTTGTTATAGCCAGCACCTCCCAATAGAGACGCGTCAGTTTGTAAGGAAGTCACTTTCTTTGTGTCCATGAATTTAACAGTGCCGTTAAAAAATTGCATAAAACTTATCCACGGCAATATGTCAGCATGAAATTCGGCAGACAATATACCGGTTACTTTATCACTGTGATTATGTATATTTGAAATAGAGTTTATTATGCGTCTCAAAAAGGTTTTCCCACCTTTCACCATTTGGCAGGCCCAGTTCAATTTACCACAAAGAGACTGAATTTGTTTAACACTTGCGCGTTTGCGCTTCTGAAAAGTCAATAAAAAAATTGTAAAATTCAGACTGTTCCTCTTTTGGCATGGATAATGTTAATTTGCGGGTATCTATAATTATACCTAAGAAAGTAATGCGTTGTGATGGTCCCTCTACCTTAGACCAATTAATATTAAAACCTACTTCTCGTAAAGTACTAGTACGTATCAACAATTGTAACCCTCTACTACAAGAACACATTGTATCTGCAATTATTAAAAAATCATCAAAATATGCAATACATATTACATTATATACCCTTTTCATAATAAAACACACAGATTTACTTAGCTTTTGAAAAATTTTTGGACTGCGGAAATGGCCAAAAGGTAGCTTAGAATCATACATGTAAGTTTGACTATCATCTCCAGAAAAAGTCCACTTTAAGCATGTTAAATCATGATCAGAACTGTGACAACGGACAGATCTATATGCACTCCTAATGTCAACTTTTGCTAGATAATTATTAGGTTTGATAAGTTTTAAAGCATGCAGTATATCCATGTAAGAACAATTTGTATCACTTGTTTAGCAATTTAAAGAAATCCCAACTGGTTGACTAGCATCATGTATTAAGCGAATATCACCATTTGGTTTAAGCACGGCCCCTAATGAACTCACAAGAGTTGGAATTTTGCTATTTACAACATAATTACCCAAGGCAATTTCTTTTCTTATTTGATTTTTAACTTGGGTGCGAAGATTAAAAGCGGTTAAATAGCTTTCCCGATTCACAGGATAATGTGGACCAAATTTTGTATTCAATTTAAAACCATTTTTTACTCCATCTAAAATGAATTCCCGATCCATTGTATCACTAGGTAAAAGGCGACACCAAGCCTCGAAATGCAAAGTATTAATTGCGGAAGTCGCCTTGTTCTCGACAACTAGATTTGAATTTGAGGAAAATTCTTTTTTAGTTTTGTCATCGGTTGACCATGGCCATTCAATGCGGAATATGCACCAGAGAAACAAATGGCGCAGGTATGCATCATTTTGCAGTCAGTACGGAAACA